GGGGTGGTACGTGGGAGATGGATGGATGGAACGAATGGACAACAGGACAGTTGTAGGAAGAATGCTGACATTGCCGTCTTTAAAGCTTCAGCAGTCTGTTGGGTCTTATGCATGAATTGCAAAGAAGTTTTGAAGGTAGTTTTCCTCCCAGGGTGCAGGGAGGGTAGTGGTCCTGTAGGGACAGGGAGCTCTTCTGGTGATGAGTGGTCTTGAGATGGCAGGGCCTGCCTGAGAGCCCTCACAGCGGGAGTCGGCTGCAGATTACAGCATCCTGCTCGAAGAGTGCGGCGTGAGAAAGCTCAGGACCCAAGCCAGACAGCTCACAGTCTTGCTTGGCTCACCTGCTTTGCTCATTGTAAGTTACAGCCCGTTGGTAGTTGGTCTGTCACAGGTGGTGCCCAGCATCACCCGAAATGCGCGCACTCGTGTGGCAGTACGTTAGACGTTAGAAACTTACGGATCTAAGGTCTCTCGTTAAGATTGAGAGTAGTGTGGCGCAGGTCTGCAGGCCTGCAGGCCAGCCGGAGGCCGGGGAAGGAGGCTCTGGAGGGTTTGACAACAGTCTGGTTACATTGTAAGTTAGAGGTAATGTAAGCTGTGTAACAGGATCTTGTTTCCTCTCCTCAAAAGACCAGACTGACCGTGGGTCTCAGCACTTGCTTTTTTGGTGACTGGAATTGAAAGTTTCAGTTTGGTCTCTGAGGTGGATTTGTACTTTCATCATTTACCCATGGTTGTGTGCCCATTGGAAGTGACAGGTAGAGAAAAAGTTTAAAAATTATTAAATTTTATTATTATTTTTTGTTGTGGGGGAGAGAGGGAGAGAGAGTAAGCAAGCTAACCCTATAGGGTTCATGTAGAGGTCAGGAGTCAGTTCTCTTCTTCCATGTATAAATCCTGGGGTTTGAGCTCCAGTTATAAGTCTTTTGTGGCAGATGCTCTTCCCTACTGAGCTACTTTCTCAGCCTGAGATCGGGAGAGTTTTTGTTTTATTAAAGATTTATTTTATTTTACACGTATGAATGTTTTCTTGCCTGTTTGTTCTGTTTGCCTGGTGCCCAGGAGGTCAGAAGAGGATGGTGGCTTCCCTGGAGCTGGAGTTAGGGATGGTTGTGAGCCACCGTGTGGGTGCTGGGAACTGAATGCAGGTCTTCAGTGGGAGCAACTGTGTGTAGCTACTGTGTCATCTCCTCAGCCCCCTAGATAGGGAGTTTTTAATGGTTATTATAGATGGTGTCAGACAGCTAGCCAGATCTACTTTTGCCCTAAAAATCAAACAATTAAATAAAAACAAATAAAAAACTTAATTCAAAACCTGAACACACCTGAAGCCTGCGTTTGCCTGGACTGGTTGCTTGCAGGTGCGTCCCTCATCATGCTTGGCCTGCCCGCCTTCCTGCTGCTGCTGCTGCTGCGGTGCAGACAGACGGACCCCAGTCTGCTGAGCGCCCTGCCTCCTCTGCCGGCTTTGGATGAGCTGTGGGAGACCAGAGTGTGTGGGGTCTACCTCCTCTGGTTTTTGCTTCAAGCTCTCTTCTACCTGCTGCCAGTTGGGAAGGTAAAGTTTTGGGGTTTGTTGTTTGGTTTGAGTTTTTGTGGTGTTTTTTGTTTTGAGACATAGTCCTTGCTTTGTAGCCTTGGCTGACCTGTAACTCACTATGTAGACCGGGTTGCCCGTGAACTCACAGAGCTCTGCCTTCCTCTGCCTCCCCAGTGCTTGGATTAAAACCCTACCATCCAGGTAAGGTTTTCCTGAAGAGGCGAGGTTTTATGAAACTTGTTGGGCTTCTTTGCCAATTGCTTAAATTTATAGCACTTTCAAGCTTAGGAGCTGTCAGTCATATGCTAAAACTTATTTGTGTCTTACCACTCTTCACTAAGTATAACTTTAAAAATAGGATTTGGATTTCTTGTCTGACTTCCTGTATTTACTTTTTTTTCCCCCCCTCTGGCTCATGGTTGGAGGGTAGCATTCCTAGCAGAGACAGGAGGGAGGTGGCCGGTCACCCACGTCTGCGCCCTGGAGGCAGCGGGAACGAACGCTGGTGCTCTGCCTGCCTTTTCCTTTTTCTTTTTAAATTTCTTCTTAGAATTTTGTGCGTATGGGTGTTTTGCCTGCATCCCTATCTATGCACTGTGTGTGTGTAGAACTCTGAGAGGCCAGGAGAGGATACTGGGTCCCTTAGGGGCTAGAGTTAGAGCTGGTTGTGAGACCAGCGTGCTAGGGATCATGCCCTGGGTCTTCTGGAAGAGCAGCCTGTGCTTTTGTTGTTTTTTTTTTTTAAAAGATATACTTATACAGCACCCTTCTCACTATAGATGGTTATGAGACACCATGTGGTCTCTGGGAATTGAACTGAGGACCTCTGGAAGAACAGCCAGTGCCCTTAACCTCTGAGGCATCTCTCCAGCTCCTACAGCCTGTATTCCTAATCACTGAGCCATTGTTTCAGCTCTTCTTTTTCTTCAGTCTGGGAACCCAGTCCATGATGTTGTGCTTTGACATTTAGGGTGGGTCTTCACACCTCAACCCAACTGATTGAGAACTTTCCTCACAGCTGTGCCTACAGGTTTGCTCCTGGGTGATTCTTGAATTTGTCCAATTGATATTGTATGTTTTTATCACACCTTCCAATTTAAATTGGAAAGAGTAAGCTAACTCTTGGTAGAGGCAGCTAAAGACCAGCCCCTTATCTTCTCTTCAGGTGCAGCATCTTAAACCATTGTCTTCTGAGCTCAGTGGATTTAAAATATATATATATATGTATATATATATAAAGTTTGTTTCCAATTTTGAGCTTTAGAAATTTGTTAACACAGTGCCCTTTTCAGACTTGCTGTCTTTTAAAAGCCCTCCTGTTGCTGAGTGTAGCCTTCTTTCAGTTGTGTGCTTTTCCTTAGAGATGTGTTCAAAGAACATGAGCTGCCCTAAGTAATACATAATTTATTTCAGATCTTATTCTTAGGAGACTATAGCTTTGCCAGCTGGAAGTTCTGTTAGGGTGGGGCTGTGGGATCTCTTAACTGGCTGTCCATCTTTGCTGTCGGGCTCTGTTCAGGTGGCTTTTATCATGAGGCTTGTCTACGCTTCGGTGGTTAAACTTGCATACACACACACACCAAAGTGATGGCCACAGACCAACAGAGAGTGAATGTCAGACATCTATATTGTCCTACTGAGGTCCAATAAGACACCTGCAATTGAGAAGGGTCGCTTAGGGTTTCTCCACCCTGTGATCTCAGGTTTTCCCTTTCTGCCCTGGGTTCCCCTTCCACAGCAAAGGAACAGGTGCCGGCAGATGACGCCCCAGAGTGGGCGGTTTAAAGTGAGCGGCTACCTTTTTGAGAATCAGCTGAGGGGGGATAGGTGGCTGCCCATCTACTCAGGCAGCCTTCGCACCCTCAGGGCCATCACTGTGCTGTGTGCAGTGGCTCTGCCGTGGTGGTTCTCACTTGGGAAGCATGTTCAGTCCTGTGCTGGAGAGTGACACTCAGCCCAGCAGAGGGGTGTGTGCAAACAGGGGAGCAGGTCAGCGCCTCAGTGCGTACACGATGTGGACGGCACAGTCGGATTGAAGGGGACCTTTCCTCTCGGGTTAAACTAGTCCCGTATGGTAAATGACATTATTGGCTAGATGCCTCATATGAGAGACAGCGTGCACTCTATTTGTTTGAATTTGTGTGACCTCACTTCATATCTTCCCATCCATTTTCCTGCAGTTTTTTTTTTCTTTTCTTTCTTTCTTTTTTTTAAATAAAGACTAAATATAAGGAATAGGAAGGACTCAATGCAGGCGATGGACAGTTATGAAAGAGGACATTAAGCTAATTGTTTTTCTGGTTCTAATCTGTCATGAATTTTTCTGGTTTTGGTGATATGTAGTGTATAAAATATATTCCATATTGAAAGTATAAAATTTAACTTGAAGCTTTATAGCTTCCATTTTGAATGACTATTCTAACCATGGAAGGTCTTTGTGTTGTAGACACTGTGGGTCTTGCTAATTTCTCTGTGTGGTATTTTATTTCTAACGTTTTCTGGCTTTTTTTTTTTTTTTTGTCCTGGATCAAACTCTGTAGACCAGGCTGGCCTCAAACTCACAGAGATCTGCCCACCTCTGCCTTCTGAGTGCTGGGATCAAAGGCCTGTGCTACAATGGCCAGCCACAAAGTTTTCTTATACTAGTTTTCATACTTTTTTTTTTTCTCTTAAAAAGAACCTTACAAATGTGAGACAGTGGGGTTAGACTGTTTTGTCAATGACGGCGCTAGTGGAGAGTTTGGAGCACTAAATCTTGTGCTGTGCGTGGAATGGTTGGTGAGTTTTGGTTTTTTTCATAGTCTTGGTGCATCGAAAAATTACTAGCTGCATATGGTGAAGGTAAATTCCTGACAGTGGTGTTGCTTCATCAACTACTGGAATGCTACTGTACTTCTTACTTACCTTCTTGGGTATAATGAACCTCAAGAGTTTGAGAGATCACATACTTACGTATATATGTGCAATATGTAAGAAAGATGAGTGGGCATGGTGGCACAGGCCTTTAATCCCAGGGCTCGAGAGGCAGAGGCAAGCAGATCTCTGTGAGTTTGAGGCTAGCCTCGTCTACAGAGTGAGTTCTGGGCTATTACACAGAGAAATTCTGTCTCGAGAAACAAAACAAAAAATGATAATGTGCTTTTTTAAAATTAAAATGTAATAATTTTTTTTTTCTTTTAAGGTTGTAGAAGGAACACCTCTTGTTGATGGAAGAAGACTCAAGTATAGACTAAATGGTGATTTTCTTAAATACTCAATGACCTAACTTACAGTTTTTAAATTGTTGGAGCTAATTACTGGGATATTGAACAGTAGATAATCTTTTAGTAGTCTGAAGAACTTGCAGATAAATGAACTTATTCCAGTAGCTGGTATGAAAAACACGTGTAAAACAAAAATAGTACTTCTGGTATCTAGTTCTGTTTTTCTTCTACTTTGTTTGAGATGGGGCCTTACGTCACGCAGGCTAGCCTGGAATTCACTTTGTAATACAAGCTAGCCCTCTTGCTTCAGCCTCCTGAGTACTGGCATTACAAGTGTGTGCAGCTAGCCTGGTTAGTTTCATTTCCTTTTTCCTTTTTCTTTTTTAAAAAATATTTTGTGTGCATGAGTGTTTGTCTGCCTGCTTTCACGCACTTGTATGCCTGGTTTCCACGGAAGTCAGAAGGTGTTGGGTCCCCTGGAACTAGAGTTACCGATCATTTTCAGCAGCTGCTTGGATGCTGGGAACCCAGCTTGTGTTCCTAGGTTGAGAAGAGTAGGCACCACCCTTTCTTCTTCTTTTTTTTCCAGTTAAATATTTTAAAAATATTTGTCTTTATGTGAGTGTGTGTGCCCATGTGTGCACATGTGCAGAGGGGCTGCTGGAGGCCCTGGAACCGGAATTACACAGTGGCTGACAACCACCTGTGCTGCCGGGACTGGAACCTTGGTCTTCTGAGAGAACAGTATGTGTATGCTCTTAGCTGCTGAGCACACACTAAGCACAGAGCGTGACCTGTCCAGCATGTTTCATTTTTTTCACTAGCACTAACCATCATTCAAAATTCAGAGCGCACACCTGTCTAGGCTCTTACTGTACTGAGCATTTCTGTGGCTCAGGCCCCCCTTGTAGGCATCCCAGTCACTCCTGCCTAGGAACCACTTCTGTCCTTGCTTGCTTGGCTTCAGCTGACTGGCCTTTGGGCTGTCTCTTGATTTTGTGTCCACTCTGTCAGCCATTTGCCTGACAGCTGCATCCTTACCATGATTTTTACTCTGTGAAGCTCTAGTTATTATTATTCTTATTCAAGGGGAAGCTGCAAGGAAGGGTGTAGAAATGCAGCGTTTCTCCCTGCAAGGCAAGGAGAAAGCTTTGGGTCCATTCTCACCTGCCTTGTTTGGTTGGACAGTTATGCCTTCCCACAGCAGTGTCTCTTTTGTTCAGGGGACTTTTCCTGCGAGGACGCAGGTTTGTGGGCTAGCTTGTGTTTACTGCACAGTTGGCACTAGGGAGATAGTGGGCACTCACTGATAAACATGTATTGAGTGGGGAGGAACAGCTCAGAGCTGTGGACAGATGTTCCCCCTCTGGTCTGTGTATCTCTGTGCTAGGGGTTCAGTCCATCTTTACCTCCTGAAGACTGAAAAAGTGCCCAGTGTAAATGCTTTTCCATTTTACTACATAGAGTAGAGTGTTTTTCTCTAACAAGTCTATGACAGGTGCTTCTCAACTTACGACTATGCTTACATTCCCATGAGTCCATCTTAAGTTGAAAATGTATTTTCTGCAGCTGACCTGCCAGCGTCCTGGCTTAGCAGCACAGCACTGTCTAGTATAGACCCCTTTGTGACCATGCAGCTCACTGCACTATTCAGCTCGGGGAGCAAAGAGTGTATGTGTTGCAGGCCTGGATCCAAATATGATTATGGGTCTGAATGTTTTAGATAGGATAGGATAGGATAGGATAGGATAGGATAGGATAGGATAGGATAGGTAGGTAGATAGATCGTTTTTTTGTCATTTATCACTGTTTATTCACTTTGTATCCCAGCTGTGGCCCCTCCCTCAGCCCCTCTCAATCCCACCCTCCCTCATCTCCCATGCCCCTCCCCCAGTCCACTGATAGGAGAGGACCTACTCCTCTTCCATCTGACCCTAGCCTATCAAGTCTCATCAGGACTGGTTGCATTTTCTTCCTCTGTGGCAAGGCTGCCCCCACTTCCCTCCACGGGGAGGTGATCAGAAAACCAGCCCCTGTTCTCCTTACTGGGGAACCCACTTTGAAACTGAGCTGCCATGGCTACATCTGTGCAGGGATTCTAGGTTATCTCCATGCATGGTCCTTGGTTGGAGTATCAGTCTCAGAAAAGGTCCCTGGGCTTTTCAGAGATCTCAGAAAAGACCTCGGAGCTCCTTGTGGAGTTCCTGTCCCCTCCAGGTCTTTCTATCTTCCCCTTCTTTCATAAGATTTCTTGCACTCTGCCCAAAGTTTGGCTATGAGTCTCAGCATCTGCTTTGATACACTGCTGGGTAGAGTCTTTCAGAGGCTCTCTGTGGTAGGCTCCTGTCCTGTTCCCTGTTTTCTCCCTCTTCCAATGTCTATCCTGTTTGCCTTTCTGAATGAGAGTTGATCATCTTAACCCAGGGTCCTCCTTCTTGCTTAGCTCCTTTAGGTGTACAGATTTTTGTGTGTTTATCCTATATTATATGTCTAATATCCACTTATAAGTGAGTATATACCTGTGTGTCTTTCTGTCTCAGGATCTTTAGTGTGCCGTCTCTTGCAGTCTGTGCTGGCCTGCTACTGTGCTATCTGGTCAGAGTGGGTTATTACTCTTGCTCTTTCTTGGTGGTTTGGGTTTTTTTTCTTTTTTTTAATGATTTTATTTATGTATATGAGTGCTCTGTTTTCATGGATGCCAGAGCAGGGAATTGGATTCCATTACAGATAGTTATGAGGACCTTTGGAAGAATAGCTAGTGCTTTTAACCTCTGAGCCATCTCTCCAGCCTTGAGTGCTCTTGTTTTCATGCACACCAGAAGAGGTATTCAGATTTCATTACAGATGGTTGTGAGCTACCATGGGGTTGCTGGGAATTGAACTCAGGACCTTTGGAAGAGCATTCAGTGCTCTTAACTGCTGAGCCATCTCTCCAAAAATGGGTGTTTCTGAGCCACGTTTTGTATTTGCTCTTTTCTTCGTTGGGGTGAGGTTTGCTTAGAGGCCAACCACTGCATCTGGGCCCTTGGTTCTTCTGTAAAAACCTCTCACTCTGTTTATGTTTGCTTCTAGCGTTCCTTGATTTGTTTTTATGGGATTTTACGATTAAGGGTGTTGCTAAGAAGAGAGTGGTCAACTTCATAAATTTTATGAGGGTTAAAGTTATTCTTTTGAGTAAACTTGGTATGTGGAAGACATGGGTTTAGATAGCAAATTGTTGGTGATCCCCTTACTTTACCAAAGCTTAGAAGTCTTTTCTTTAAGTCGGACATGGTAGTACATACCTTCAATCCCAGCACTCTGGGAGGCAGAGGCAGGTGGATTGCTGTCAGTTTGAGGCCAGCCTGGTCTACAAAGCTGTCAAGGATGACCTAGGCTACATAGAGAAACCCTGTCTCAAAAAAACAAGAGAGGGAGAGAAATCTCTGTAATGACCATGACTTTTCTATTTGTTAATTGACTTCATCTGGAAACACCTCTTTAGCCAAAAGGCAAAAGTGTGCTCCTCCTGCTGGCCAGGCTGGGTAGACTGTCTGGATTCTCTTGGGGTGTGTGTGTGTGTGTGTGGGGGGGGGGGGGTCAGTATGCTGTCTGCCTATGATCAGAGTGTAGTCTAGTTTGGCCAGGTCCTGGGATTGCAAGTATGAGTGACCACACTTGGTTTTCTCAGGGTTCTATTGTATCCTCTGCTATGAGGGTAGGTTATCTTAATATCCATTGTCTAGGTGGCAGAATATGACTAAAATCTTTCTATACCATTACCAGCTAGTAAATTCCAACAAATATTTATAATTTTATACCTACTAAAATTATTCTGCTATTAGGTAGTGGCATTAAACTTGAAAACGTGCTTGCCCGTCTCTTTTGGGAGCTAGTTACTTGGCTTTGGACTCTGACACTTTGGGTTAGTAGTGCATTTTGAGATTCTTTTCAGCTTAACAGTAAATTCCTGTACCCTTTCATTTAGCTTCCCTTTAACAATAGACAATGATTCATAGTGCGAAAGAACATTACTGCAAAAGAACGTTAGCGTTCTTGAAAGATAGTACAAGAGCTGTGGTATTTACGTTGAAGATTGCACTTTAAGGGATTTACTTATGAAAATAATCTGGATAATGAAATTAAGATGGAAATTAATAGAAAATCACTGCATTGGACTGATGGCTCCTTGTACCTTGGAAGCTAAGGTGTGTGGGGGGTCTTTTTGAGCCCAGGAGTTCAAGGCCATTTTTGGCAACCTAGTGTGACTTATCTCAAAAAAAAACAACCCAGTGTGAGTCACAGGATGATGCTAACTACCGTCTCTCTTCTCTCTTTAAGGACTCTATGCCTTTGTCCTGACGTCTGTACTCGTGGGAGCGGCCCAGTTCTGGGGCGTAGAGCTGTGTTACCTGTACACTCATTTCCTTCAGTTCGCAGTGGCCGCCACTGCTTTCTCCGTGGTCCTGAGTGGTTATCTGTATGCCCGCTCTTTGAAAGCCCCCCGCGACGAGCTGGCCCCTGCCAGTTCTGGTGAGCAGTCACGCCATGTGTTGCATGGGTGTTCGGGGCCTTGGCAGCCATGGCTACCCTGGAGTAGATTATTGGTCTAGTGTAATTATGGAAATGCAGAGACAAATGAAGAAAACAGTTGAAGGCAAAATTTAAATGCCTTTTTTTCTCGTGATTTTCTATGTTTTATATGACTAAAAACCTTTAGCGGTACTATGTATCTATCTATTTTTGTCGAGTAGTAAATTCCTTAAAGAAAGAAAATCAGGCTGCAAGTTGTTTGGTTCTCACCTAACATACTTTTTTAACTTTTTAAAGTTTCCTATGGACTAGGTGTATATGGACTAGTAAATGGACATGCATTTACTCTGAGCACTTGACATGCAGAGGCAGGAGGATTTGATGCTAGCCAGGGCTACATATTGAGGCCTTGTCTTAAAAAAAAAAAAAAAAAAAAAAAAAAATTCCTATTTGAAAAAACCCAAAACATCATATTTTATATTTTTAAAAAAAAACCTTTTAATTTAAGAGTTTGGGGTGGGGGAGGGTCTGGTCACGTGAGCTCTGAGGAGGTGAGGCTGCCCTGGCTTTCCTTCTATCTGTACAGTCTCCTCAGGGAGCAGGTTGGATGTTGAAGACTAGGGCTGAAACATCGTTCAGGTCAACGCTTTTCCCTTCCCAGGAAATGCTGTCTATGACTTCTTCATTGGCCGGGAATTAAATCCTCGAATTGGTGCCTTTGATCTCAAATATTTTTGTGAATTGCGCCCTGGATTGATTGGATGGGTATGTGCTGTTTTTTAAATTTTCAGTAGTATGACTTTATCTTGTATTCAGAAGGAAATGGAGGCAATTTTAAATTTTATCATTTTCTACAATTCTGTCTTATTATATTTACAATGTTCTGTCTGCGTGTACACCTAACAGGCCAGAAGAGGTCAGCATATCTCATAGATGGTTGTGAGCCCCCATGTAGTTTTTGGAAATTGAATTCAGGACCTCTTGAAGAACTCAGCCATCTCTCCAACCCATACAAAATATTTTCTTACTATATATATATTTACAGGTTTAAGATATCTTGTTAAGGATTATTAAACATCCCTGAATTAGTATAGATGGAGTAATGTAAAGATTACCATTTCTCTTTCCTTTTCAGTAAAGCCTTATTTTGACCCCATTTCAGACTTAAAGGAGAATTATAGAAATAGAACCAAGAATCCCCTGCATGCTTTAGCTGGATCCCTGCGCTAACCCTCGCCCAGTCACAGTCTGGTGAAGGAGATCTAGTGTCACCAAGGGGACCCGTCGCCCTTATTGGGATTCACTAGTGGTTTACTATTGCTGCGTTCTTTCTTCTTGGTCTTCTCTCATGTATAATACTGGTTCCTGAGTCTTGTGACCATGTCACCGTTTTGCAGGATATTGAATCATCCTTAAGACCATCATTCCACTGTGTTGGCAAGAGTAGCACAGGAGAGCCATGCCTTAGGGTTGAGGTGTCATGGACTGTGTGCACTGGGTTTCTTAGCTGTCCTTGTCCCTGGGTGTGCCTTTGAGACTTCTTGTCTCTTTTTCCAGGTGGTTGTTAACTTGGTGATGCTTTTGGCTGAAATGGAAGAACAGAAGCGTAGTGCCCCGTCCTTGGCAATGATCTTAGTTAACAGTTTCCAGCTCTTGTATGTGGTGGATGCCCTTTGGAATGAGGTAATTTGTTGGATTGCTTTGGTGTTTTTTTTTTTTGTTTTGTTTTGTTTTTTTTTTTTTTAAATGTTTTGAGGTTCTGGCTTGAACTTGTGATCTTCCTGCCTCAGCCTCCCAAGTTGGGTTATAGGAGTACATTTCTGTGCCTATACAACATGTAGGCGTATATGTTAATTAACATATAATTAATTGAGTTTTTGGAGGCCATGAAGTCAAGTAGTTTTGAGAATTGTTGAGTGGTTTAATTTTCCTCGGAGAGGATGAGCTGCTTATATTCACAATTAGGGTGGTACAGCTTGCCTCTGGCTTGTGCTGATAATGAGGTGGCGGCTCGGGTCCGCACGTGAACACTGGTGGGTGTGTCAGCAACTCTACTGGGAAACGACTTTCTAAGCATTTAACATTGATGCCTATTGGCACCTTAAGGCAGAACTTGTCTGTGGATATACACAGAGGTACTTTGCGTGGGTGTGCATGTACACTGTGTGAAGGACAACCTTAGAGTCATTCCTTGGCCTCTCTCTCTTAAAATGAAGCCCATCATTGGCCTGAAACTCAGAAAGTAGGCTAGGCAGACTGGCCCAGCCCCAGGGATCCACCTGTCTCTTGACTGCATTGTACTGGATTATAAGTGCATATACCTCATTTCTAAAATGTTGATTCTGGGGATTGAACTTTGGGCCTTCATGCTTACACGGCTTTACTTAGCTAGCTTTCTCCCCATTCACTATCAGCAGAGGCTTGTCTGTCCTTAGTGTTGCAACCAGATTATAAACAGGAAAGTCTTCACTGTGTAATTTCCTCAGCACCTGGCAGCTGTTTGCAAATTAGCAATCGATGGGAAATTTTCTGTGAAAGATCTGCCTCTTGAGAAAAGTGGGGATGCTCACGTGGATGTACCTGTTTTGAAGAGGAGTCTGTCCTGTGTACTCCTGAGGGTTGGTTCAGGTCTAAATTGGTCCAATGCTTGATAACACTTTCTTTCCCTCTTATTGACAACTCCCCTTCATTCTGGCTTTTGTCCTTGTGTTTTTATCTACCCTGTTCCCTGTGCTCCTCAATCATCTTCAGTCTCCAAAGACCCTCATATCGGAGCATGTGTGCCCAGAGCTGATATGCACATATATTCTGACATTTAGGGTGTGCGCTTTTGGGTCTAGATTTGTGACCTCTGACTCTAATCCCATACTTTTTCATTTAACGTAGAACTTGTGTTTCGATAGACTGCCTGTCAGTGTTTTAGTGTGACTTCACTTATTATACTTGGCCATAATTAATATCCTTTAGACATAAGATGTTTTGTATTTCTTCCCTTCTGTCATTTTAGGAAGCGCTGCTGACCACCATGGACATCGTCCACGATGGCTTTGGCTTCATGCTGGCCTTTGGGGATTTAGTGTGGGTTCCGTTCTCCTACAGCCTCCAGGCCTTTTACCTGGTCAGCCATCCCCATGAATTGTCCTGGCCACTGGCTTGTGTCATCATTGCTCTGAAACGTGAGTGCACATCTCAGCATCTGCTCTTTTCCAGTTGGGGTCCCCTGTCGCTTGGCCTCTTGCTTGATCACAGGTTTGAAATAATTTATGATGGATAAGTACTGAGAAAATTCAGAAGTTTGCAAAGAGAAGGAAGACATGCTCCCTCTCCACTAGTCCTCAACAGAGAACATCTTACTTATATTTAACTTGACTTGCTTTAGGAACAATTTATTTTCTCTGTCAAATGCCTGCATTTTCTAGAGATCTTAAAAATGAGATTGATCTTGATAGAGCTTTCACTCTCACTTCTGAAACAGTACCGGATAGTGTACGCGTGCTGTGCTGAGGGCCTGGCAGGAGGGGGGGGAGGGAGCGGTCCCCTGTACTGAGGGCTGCCTGGCAGGAGGGGGGAGGTCCGAGAGCAGCGTGGCGGCTGGGAGAGTTCTATACCAGGCCCAGTGTTTTTCAGATCAGATGGTCTTCCTTTATTTGTTAATTTTTTTACTTTTGTCATTAAAGTAAGTAATCATTCAAAACCTGGATAGGAAAATAAGCACTGAACTTCAAATAGAGCTAGATTTTTGTATGACATTGATAAATATCTATAATGGAAGAGGAAATCCAAGCACGTTGTTAAAATGAAGATTTAGTTTCTCCATTGCTTTGATTATTCATGTCAGTGACACCTGAGTTATTCAAAACAGTCTGTGTGTCTCTTACAGAGAGCCGAAATGGAGATTTGGCATTTCTTGTTATTCAGACCTTATAGTAGTAGTGCCTTGTTAGGGCCTTTTGAAATTTGAGTAAGTCTCCCAAGTTGAGGGGTTTCACCCTGAAGTGCAGACACTGTTTTCTGACTTAGTTGGTGTTTTACTGAGGAAGCACTGTGCTGTGGTTGCAGGTCTCATAGCTAGTAGACAGGGAATCTTTAGTCGCTGTCCTCTGTTGCCTTTTTGTAGGTGGGCTATCTCACACACTTTGTGGCCATGACTGTGTGTGTAGGTTTTGCTTTCAAGATTGGATGATGAGTGAGAGTTTAGATGCTAGATTACATCTAAATTATTAACAGGAAAATATTTTTAAATTTCAGTTTGTGGATATATAATCTTCCGTTGTGCAAACTCTCAGAAAAATGCATTCCGCAAGAATCCTGCTGATCCAAAGCTTGCACGTAAGGACTAACCTAATTTGTTGATTCATATTTACTGTGTGTAGGTTTTTATGCCTCTTTCTTTCAGAAGTCATAAAATAGGTTTTTGTTTTCATATAGATTTGAAAACCATTCACACGTCCACGGGAAAGAGTCTGCTTGTTTCTGGATGGTGGGGCCTTGTTCGACATCCCAATTACTTGGGTGATCTCATCATGGCTCTGGCGTGGTCCCTCCCGTGTGGTGAGCATCTAACTAACTCTAACTTGACTCTTCTTTCTCCAGACTGGGATATGCCATTGGTTGGAGTGCTAGGCGGCTCTGGGTCTGTTTCCTTGGTGTCTAACCCTTGTTGTCTGCCTGCTGAGGTGACTGGGAACATTTTGAGATGGTTTTTCTGAGCCTGGATGGAAGGAACGTTTTGTTTGTAATTTGAGAGGTTTTGGTTCAGAAAACTAGTTCTTAGGAGGGAAATCAGAAAACTCACTGAGCTGCTGTTGTCCCTCCAGGGTTCACCCACCTCCTGCCCTACTTCTATGTCATCTACTTCACCGTGTTGCTCATCCACCGAGAAGCCCGTGATGAGCACCAGTGCAGGAGGAAGTACGGCCTGGCCTGGGAGAAGTACTGCCAACGCGTGCCCTACCGCATATTCCCCTACGTCTACTGACCTGTGCTCGATGCCAGCGCTGGGCAGACTCCACAGAAACAAGGAGAAAGTCCAAATGAACTAACCTCATGCACTGACAGGATCTCTGGGTTTGTTGTCTGAGTCAGGACTATAGAGCCAAATAGTACGTCTTTTAATGTAGTTGTCTTTATTCATATTAAAGTACAATAATTAATATAAGGGGAAAGCAGAGATGGTATAATTTGATTAATAGAAAAATTTTAGTCCATAAAAATCTGAAGTCTTATTTTTATATCTTTTAAAATTCTTTTTTCTTTTTGCCATTTGATTTTTTCCTAAAGTACATCTATGTTTAAGTTTAGTATATAGGTCAAACAAAAAGCCAGCCCAATATTGGTGGCATATGTGAAGAGTAAGGGCAGATCACTCCCTGTTTAAGGGTGACCATTCATAGAAGTGGCCCAACCTCAGCCTTTAAAAGTGCATTTGGAAGTGTAAATAAATACATAGCTTACTTTTGTGTAATATATAGTGACTTGTGATTTTTCTGTACAGTTTTTGAATGTGAGACAATTGTCAGGAACTAAGTAGTTTTTTTAACAAAAGCATTTTCAGTGTTTTAAATTAAGTTTTGTAAAGTAATGTGAATTTAAAAGTGTAAAGCAATTAGAATTCATTTAAAGTTGAAATATGGGAAAGTTATTTTTCTTTATCCAAAGTTTGTGGATTTGGCTTTGCTACCTCAGTTTGCAGGTGTTTGTTTGCCTTCATGAACTGTTGCAAATAGAAAAAAATATATATATTTTTGGAGTAACAGCACTATTTAAACATTTTTACTTGCAGTGGTGTTGGGAAATTTGCCATTTTAGGCTACTACTATTTTTATATATATATTTTTTGATTTACAAATTCAACAGTGTTTTTGCTACTGTTTAGCTCATACAGTTTATACTATTTTGTATCCTTTATCATCTTTAGAACTCTCTAGAAAGGAGCTCTGCCTGAAACAACTTTAAGGAGCTAATTGAAACTTGTTTTATGTTTCAGTTTAGTAGATGTACATAGCTTGTTGTAGCCATTCAATTCTAGTGAGGTTGATTAGTTTCATAGAATCTGTTCTGGAGCAGGATAAGCACAAGACTGTTATCGTCAAAGCTACTTTGTTCTCAGAATCTTAACATAAGGGATGTAATACATATTGTGTACATTTGGGTTTGTTTCTATTGCACAAGTCACATGAGCCAGATACAAAGTGTTCCTTCTGCTCTGCAGCGTAGGGCGTATGTAATGTTAATGTGATCCTGAGGATACACTCCGCATTCTGTAATTTTTAGACTGTTTTTATGAAATTGTCATTGTTTTACTAAGGGCTGCAGCAGGTGTTTCTCTATTAAGCTGTTCTCCTGGTATATATACATGGTATGTGCTAAGCTTATAAGGAAACTTTGGGTAAGATTAAAGACATTGGGTTCTTTGCCGGGTAGTGAGAAGAGTCTGTGATAGGGCAGTACAACAGTGCCTGGATATCAGGGGCAAGTTTTTAATTGGATGTTTGGCAATAAAATTTCAGATGAAAATAAAGAGTTGCTTTGGTCACTTTAGAGCCTCATTTCTTTTTTTCCCATAATTTTGGGGTCACTAGCAGCATTGGCCATTTTCTTTTTCTAAGATTATTTGTTTGGGTTTTCCTGAACTGTAGGAACCCAGGGATTTCTGATTGGCAGATTTGTGGTAAAGCAAAGATTGCCAGAGCCTGACCCAGTGGTGGTTGCAGCCTTCCAGGAGGTTTAGTCAGGAGGGTCTCCATAGTTTGAGGCTGTCCTGGGCTAGAGAGTGAAACTTCTCTTGAACGAAAATCCAGCAAACAATGTGTTGGAATCTGAGGGTTTAGGGGTAAGGGTGGAATTCCCAACTCCTAAAAAACCGGTCATGTTTATTTATTATCTGCTGTTTAAGAATACCGAGTGCTTACTGGCTGTTTCGGTTCTGTCAGGCTTTGAAGCAAACATGTTACTAGCAGAAGCATCGGTGTTCCTTTGAAAGATAGCACAAACATGCCTACCTTCAGAGTCTCCTATGCGTCTGCCAACTCTGGCTAGGCACACGATGGTACGAGGCTGCTCCCCGCATGGCAATGCCTTGATGCATGTACAGTCCAAACTGAAATTGGTTTGATATTGGATATTTATTTCATTCATTCTTCTCACACAGCAGTGCAACCTGCATGGTGATCCAGTGACTAGGAGGTTTCTTTGTTGGTAAATACACTGATGTTAGGAAATTTGTTGATAAACCAGGAAGATTTCTTGACCTCTCAGATGTTTGGTAAACTGGACATTCGTAAATACTGTCTGTCTGGTCAGAAGCATGCGATGATTCAGCAATCTAAAAATAAAAATTCGTAGTCAAATCACAGTTAACAAAACCAATAATAGGTCACGTGTGTGTGAGTATGAGGGTAGATATTTAATGATAGTAAATTGCACGTTAAAATTGTATCTAGAGAAGTTAAAATAGAAATGACTTGCTAAGTTGTGGTTTACTGCTGATCAGTAACACTGAACATCAGCATTATCATGTTTTTAGGTCTTCAACAATATTGTGCTATTCTGTGTAAAGTACAATAGTACATTTCCCTCGTGAGATCACAGGTAATGAGAATTCAGAAATTTGGGATTTCCTTACCAAGTTAGGTAATTACCTTTTCTGGCAAAAAGTGGATGTCAGGAAAATCACAGCGTAATTCATCGGGCAGCGAGTCTTCCAATACTTCTTGTTCGGGATCCCACCGTGCCCCCTCAATGAATAAACCAAAAATATAGACTCCTTTGGAAGGGCGGTCCTTGCCCTGATGAGAGAGTGGAATCATTAACCTCAGCTGAGATTGCCTTCCCTTCCCTCAGTGTGATACATCCCTGCTTTATGTTGCTCTGAATGCTTAACAAACCAGACTCCACATTTCTAAGGGAAAAGCAATTATTAAAGGAGTCAGCAAGTTGTGCTCTACCTGCCTTTCCTATAGGCTCCCTGACATAGTATGGATTTGGAGAGTGAAAGCAGGCTATGCACAGTTCTATGGTATATCACTGATACAGGAATTGATACAGTCATTAGCTTGGAATAAGTGTTTGGATTTTACCAGGCGTGGTGTCGTAGGTCTGTAATTCTAGCACTTGGGGAGGTAGAGGCAGGTGGGTCTCTGTGAGTTCCAGACCGGCCTGGTCTACAAAGTGAGTCCAGGACAGCCAAGCTACACAGAGAAACCCTGTCTTGTTGAAAGAAAAAAAAAAAAAAAACCAGAACAGAACAAAAGTTTGGATTTCTGGACATGGTGGTACACACTTTAAATCATAGCGCTTGAAAGGCAGAGGCAGGAGTATCTCTGTGAGTTCAAGGCCATCCTGGTCTACAAAGTGAGTTCCAGGACAGCCAGGGCTGTTACTCAGAGAAACCCTGTCTAGAGGGGGAAAAAACGGGGTGGTGGTGTGACTAGGTGTGGCCCCCATAGACTCATGTATTTGAATGCTTGGCCCATGGGGACTGGCACTGTTAGGGGGTGGAGCGTTGTTGTAGGAAGTGTGTCACTGTGGGGGTGGGCTCTGAGCTCTCCTGTGCTCAAGCTCTGCTCAGTATGGAATTCCAGTCTCCTGGATGCCTTGGATCTGTGTCCAGCACCATGCAGGCTTGCCTGTGTGCTGCATGCTTGCTGCCATGACGATAATGGACTAATCCTCTGAAACTGTAAGCCAGCCCCAGTGAAATGTTTTCCTTTAGAAGAGTTGCCTTGGTCATGGTGTCTTCACAGCAGTGGAAATCCTAAGATGAAGTGTTTGGATGAACTCTTAGGTAGAAAATTGCCAGCAGCTCCAACAGCACATGTGTCCTGGGTGGCGATGAGCCATGCTGCCACCATGCTGTCTCTCAGCTCTGGCGGCTGAGAGACAGAACAGATGCGCCCTGCACTTACTGCTCAGGAGCCTTTGCTTCACATCTGGTGAATCCCTGAGACAAAGTAGGCCTTGGTGTCCTGGGTCAGCCACTGCGTAGACAGGCCAGTGTGCTCAGGCATGCTTAGCCTGTGTATTCTGGAATGTGAGCAAGTCTTGAGGTACAAGCTAAATGTCCCTTACCATTTAGGTACATTGACAAGTTTCACTCAATGCACCTGAGCTTGTGCTGCCTAGTCCTATAATTCTGTGCACTTGATAATATGATTTCCACTCAATGATTTGGCCATGGAATTGAGGCAGGATCTCCTGTAGCCCAGGCTTGCCTTGAACTTGTTATATAATTGAGGGTAACCTTGAACTGCTGATTTCTCTTTTCCTCCGAGTTCTGGTATCATGGTATCACAGTTGTGGGTCACCACACCTAACGTGGCTGAGATAGGTAAGTAATTCCTCCGAAGAGCCATTTAAAAGTAAATGGAAGCCATCTTAGTTTACCTTAAATCAAGATTGGCTGTTGGCGTAAAGCAGGAAGAGGCGAGCACCTGCTTACATAACACTTTACTCCCGTGTCTGTCCTTCACTCTCAAAGTTCATAGCGGTGTTTTCTCGCCTGCTCTTCAGACTTCTAACCCATAGGCTGACCTTTTCATTCCTAGCCTGTCTCCTCCTCCTCTCCCCTCATTCCCTCTTCATTTCACTGCTTAAATACACTCCATTGCCCCCGGCCCGGGCTCTAGGACCCCGGACACAAGTCAGGCGCTCAGTATTGTCTTCTGCAGCTAACTTCCATCAAACCATCATAGTTGTTTCTGTAGTCGACTTTCCCCTGAACTTTATGAATCAGGACGTACATACACACGCTAACAGCTGGGCACAACACAAAAAGCTCAGCATGAGGCACACCCCATCCCAGCTCCCCGCAAACAGACTGATGCTCCACCAAGCACCCCACAAGCCTCTCAAAAATGGCAGTCAGATGACAGTCTCCAAAGAAACAAGCGGAATTGAGAACATGCACAAGAAAATTACGAATCACCTCAAGATATACAGCTAGGAGAGTTCCCAAACTGCACCTCTGAAGTAATCAAGGAAGAGATTTTAAAATCCACAGAATCAAATGAAAGCAAGAGCATAATCTACCCAAATATTTGGTGTACGATGCAGGCGGCAGTCCCGAGAGGAGGGTTTACAGTTCTGTGTGCTCAGATTAAAAAAATAACAGTAATCTATACCTCCAAGCTCTGGAAAAGCAAGGAGCAGCTAAACCCACATCCACAGATGGCAACAAATAATACAAACCAGGGCAGAAGGTGAGTTGAGTGGAAAAGAGCAGTACATGATATTAACCAGATAAACAGCTGGTTCTTTGAACATATTAACAAGGTTGGCCCAACACTAGCTAAATTAACCAAAAGAAACAGGGTGCAAATTAGTAAAAATCAGTGACGGCAAGGAAGTTGCTATAACAGACTAATGAAAGCCAGATAATTAGGGAGCTTGAAAACAAACCAGAAAATCTAGTGGATAAATTTCTAAGTGCATATGACTTGCAGAAATTAATATCAGAGTATATCAATCTAAACATTTATAGGGAAAACATAGCTTTAAAAAGTCTCAACACAAAGAAACCGGGCAGGAGAAGTGCTATGTTGTGCTACAAGCTTTCAAGGACAGCCTGATAACTGCTTGTCAGATTCCCTGAAATAGAAAGGGAAGGAACACCCAAGCTCTATCTGTGGAGCCGGCACAAGACATGTCCTGAACTCAGATAAAGAAAAGAACTACAAATCGGTAGTTCTTCTCAAACTTAGATGCAGAGATCTTCACAAAGTACTTGCAAACTGATGTAAAGATCATGTATCACAACCAAGTTGGTTTCATCCCAAGGTTACCTTGACATACAAATCAATAAAAATGTAATTAATAAATATAGAGACAAATCACATGATCATCTCAACAAAAGGCATATTTGAAAATTCCATATACCTTCATGATAAAAGTTCTGAGCAAACTAGGAAAAGGCAGCCTTCCTTATTATAATAAATGTGATAATACGAACTTAGAGCCAACACTGCTAAAGATGGAAAGCAGCATTTTTTCTCAGCTTAAGACAAGCGTATCCAACATCTTCCCTCATTGAATACAGTGTTCAATCAGACAAGAGAAAGGTGTAAATCAGGAAGAAAGAAAAACTGTCTTAGATTTTTTTCCTTCCTATGTTAAAGAGCATGACCAAAAGCAACTTAGGGAGGAAAAGGTTTATTTAGTTTACACATCCTAATAACAGTCCACTGAGGGAAGTGAAGACAGCAACTCAAGCAGGGCAGGAACTTAAGTAGACACCATGGAAGAACACTGCTTACTGGCCTGGACCTCATGGACTGCTCAGTCCTCCTACACAACCAGGATCACCTGGCCAGGAGCACTTCCCCAGTGAGCTGGGCCCTCTCACCACTGTTAGTCAAAAAATGCCTTAGAGACTTGTCTGCAGGTAATCTGACTGAGGTGTTTTCTCCATTGGGGTTTCCTTTCCCAGATAACTTTACCTTGTGAGAAGCTGGGAAAAAAAACTAATCAGGACATTTTCCCTTTTGGCAGATATCATCAAAAAAACATTAAAAGACCTCATGACTCCACTAAAAGGGTCAACAAAAAGCTTTCAGGAGATTAGCAGGATACAAAGTCAGCTTTCAAAAATCAGCAGACTTTAGCAGAAGAGGTGGCACAACCCTTTAATCCCAGCACTCGGGAGGCAGAGGCTGGTGGATCTCTGTGATTTTGAGGACAGCCTGGTCTATAGAGTGAGTCCAGGACAATCGAGGCTACCCTGTCTTGAAATCATGTCTCGAAAAAAATAAAACAATAAATTAGTAGCTCATATATACATCAAAACTGAACTTGCTGATAGAGATATCAGGAAAAATATCTTACAATAATTTAAAAAGTAAAAAAAAAAATCTGGGAATAAACCTGATTATGGAGTTAAAAGACTCCTATAAGAAAAAAATTAAATATTGGAAGAAAATGAAGACATCAGATAATGGGAAGAGTGTTTATGCTCCTGGATTGATAGGATTAGTATGTGAAAATGACTTTACCACAAAAAGCAATCTACAGATTCAACACAATATCTAACAAAAATCCAATGATAATCTTCACAGAACTAGAAAAAAAAAAATCAAAGATGTGTATGAAGACACTAAAGATGACAGATGGCTAAAGCACTTCCAAGCAGAAAGCTCATGGCTGGAGATGTAACATTACCTGATCTCAAACTATACTAAATAGCTGCAATGATCCAGAGCCTGGTGTTGACACAACAGCACATATAGACATGAGACTCGGTGACAGACACAAAGCTGTGGACGCCTAAATCCTGTATGTGTGACACCCATTTAGTCATTGAATGGGGGCTGGGCCCTTGGCAGTCTCCTCAGTACCCAGTACCTGGAAAGCTCTGGTGACTGAGTTGAGCCTTTTCTGAAGAAGTAAGGAGAAGTCAGTCTCTTGTTCACCACCGGTGTTAACAATTACTTTGTGAGTGAAAGTGAGGCCATCCATGGAGGTTCCGTGGGCCCTTCCGTAGTCTTGAAGCACAGCAGTAAGAAACGCTTTGAAGAAAAACAGGGCCAAAGTCTCTGGTAAGCCTTGAGTTTCCCGTGGGGTAGGAACTATGGCTGCCCCATGGAGATGACAGGAGGAGGCAGGCAGGAAGGGTAATGGGGTATTGTCTATCAACTTCTAGATAAAACCTTCCATCTTAGAGCGAAGCTCGGTAAGATGCAGAATGTTCTAAAGGGAGGTGAAACATGGCATCCTACAGGGAAGCTCCTTAACACTCAGGAAGTAAGCAATTTAAAAGCTTCAGGAAGTTTCTGAAACTGACAAGTTTTACCAGGACCGCCCTTCTCATGTGTAAATAAATAGTAAGGACTGATGAGAGAGACTCTCAGGCCAGCTGGACTTCCAGGCGAGACACTCCAGCTCATTGAGCTGCCCGAGTTGGGCAGTGAGCTCCAGGGTTGCAGCTTTTATGAGCCATCACCCATGCCGCGGTGGCTTTGGTGGTGCCGCTGTCTTCGCATCATTTCTGCCTCTGTAAGTAACCCTAATACATTGGTTCCCTGAATCTGGACTTGGTTCCCTATCTGCCGTGAATAGATGTTTTTTGACACTTACCCGGGAATAGTGTCACACACCATGGTGGGAGGGACCAGTCACCCACACTTTCAGATCTGTGCACATGGGCTATTTTGTAGGTCCAGGGAGCAGGGTTACAATCCTGGGACCTGAGCCTTTCCTGGCCTTTTTCTTTCTTTGCTGATTATTGGATCTTACGGTGATCTTGGTAGCAGAGATAGACACGTCATAGATGAGTGAGCATGCCACCCAGGGTGCCCGAGGTTTCCTCAGGCAATGTCATAGGGACAATTTGGGGAAGAGGAAGTTTCTTTTCTTCTGGGCTTGCTAACCTGCCTGTATTTTGCCCTGAGAAAGTGACATGCTAAGGCTTAGTGGGGTCAGGGGTGTGGGGAGGATGAGATGAGGAAAGGAGGTGAGGCAGGACAGGGCTACAGGTGCTGTCATCTGGGCTAGTGGTGGTAGAATGGCTGAGAGCAAATGTGCCAGAGCCAGATGTGGGTCTGCCCTGGCGCTAGCACTCACCCTGTGGAGAGAAGAAGGCAGGGAACCAGTATCTTGTCGGAAATCCATCCACGGATTCGCTCGCAGTGTCAAGGACATGTTTGGATTTCTGGCTGATCAATGTAGAAGACTGTTTCCAGGTTGCGACAAATTTCATGTACCTGGGGAGAAGCCAGTGGCAGGGAGGCTGAGGACAGAGTAGCGGCTACCCTTGAGAGCCCCTGGCAGCCTCCTCCAGTCCACCAGGCAGCAGCTTTCACCGCTCACCCCAGCCTGCCTCAGCCTCTTTGTTTTATACTCTGATGGACACTGGGCACAGTTCCAGGCCTCTTAGGGGAAAGGGAGGGCAGACTGTGGAAGCCATGGGTTTGGAAACGCCTGGCTGGGCCGTGAGGAATTCTAGCATTTGTTTCTGAGTTGCAGGCTTTGCCCACAGCTGACACTCATGTTCTGTGAGGCCCAAGAGGCAGCTGGGCATAGGCCGGACACAGAACCTCTGGGTTTGCATTTCAGCACTTCTGTGTTCTTTGGGTAAGTGATTTCCTGTGCTGTGACTTACTCCTTTCTGAAACAGGATGATGGCAGGGTCAGCACCCGCCTCCCCTCATGGGACTACCATGAGAACTGAGTCAGGGGACACAACTAGGTTTTTCACACATTAGTCTGCATTCCCAGGGGCCAGTTTTCCAGGCACAGTGAGGGACAGTGGCAAGAAACACAACTGGGCGTTTCCTTCTCAGCCTGGGAAGACCTGGCATGGGGCCTCTACTCTGAGGTCTCTGTTTTCTCATTCCAAAAGAAAGGGCTGAGAAAACAAAATCAAAAAACAAACAACAGCAAAAACAAGAGACTGAGCTGTCTGGTGAGTGAGTGGGGAACTGCCAGGCCCCAGCAGAAGCAGGGCAGGGATGAAAAGCTGGCTCTTGCTCCTACCGATGGTTGATGGCCGTGTATGCCACTTTGGCCCAGGTGTTGAAGAAATTCACCCGCTGGAGGAGATCGCTCACCCAGAAGCTCAGGGGCTTGATGGACTTGTAGGCGTTCTTCTGCGGATTGAGAGAGAGGTGCATTGTTTCTGCAGCTCTGTCTAGAGGTCATCACCTTTCTGCCAGGGAGAAACACCTTGGCAGGAGATGCCATTTTCCAGCTGAAAACGTAGGGATAGGTCTGAAAACAACTACCTAATTTTCAGACATCCTAACTGGAAGTACCTGCCCTGGCTACAAGCTTTCATTGCTCTTAACCTTTCCCTTTTGCCTCCCTCTTCTCCCTGGGGCCATTGTCTTCATGGGGACTCTGGGTCTTAGCCACTTAGACTCCCTCGTTTTTCTGGTGCAAGTTGGCAGCCCCACCTACTGGACAGTGCTTTTCCTTCCGGCCCAGCAGAGCTGGCCTCTTGACTTTAGGGGGTGTTTCCTTCTGCTAGCAGCTATCACTGTCCATTCTCTAACCCTGCTCACAGCAAGCCCTCAAAGGTCCGGGGATGGAGGGAGTGGGGCTTGCTGTCCTCAGCTGCCTCTGTCTTTATAGACGGTGTCTTGTGAGAACAGCCTAGCCTCCTGGCTCTCTCTTCTGTCCTCATTAGAAATCAGTGGGCACCGTCTCCTGTGCTATTGGGCCCACTCCACCGCAGGGCACGCATCTTTCTCTCCTGAATTCTGGGCTACTTCCTTTCAGATTCAATTCCCTGGCTCCTCTCTTTGAGGTGAGTCTATTGCCCAACCCCTTCCAGCCTTTTTCTTTTGTCCACCCTCCCTCCTGGTGGTCCCACCATTTCAGGCTGGCAACAGTAAGTCTTGCTTAGAGTTCTTTTATCTAGCGGTTCTCAGTAGCTTCACTCTGACATCCCCGTAGCTCTACACACTTCCCATATCCATCTTGTCGCTTGTCCTAGCTTGACGTGCCACTTAGATCATAGCCTCCCAACACAGTGGCACCAGCAAGCCCAGAAATCCTGTCGGCTCTGGAGTCCCACCGTGCTACATGTATGAATGCTACATTGCAACTTTTCACTAGTTCATATTGAATTTTTAAAGAATTAGTTGTCATTGATGCCTTTAAGTTGTTTCCATGTTTTCTACATAGCTTTTCTTTTTTTTTAGTAGTGTATCGACCTGCAATTCAAATAACCATACAATGAGGTACCTGCTCAGTGGTTGTGCGATGTATTTCCTGAGCTGGACAACCAATACTGCAGTCACCTTCAGCCTGTCATCACTAAACAAACCAAAGCAAGCAAGCAAGCCAGCTAGCCAGCGAGCAAACAAGCCCTGGCCTTTTCACTTGCATTGCTTTAATGTCATTCCCAGCGGGAGGCGCCCACACTGCGTGTGATTGTCTGTTATGGACGAGTCCTACACTGTGGCCTTCTGTGATTGCCTTCTTGCGCTCTGCAGAAGAGCTGCGGTTTTCAGGGCTCACCCACGTGGCGTTTGTCAGCACTTACACTAACTAAAATACGAATGAGATAAGTCAGAATAGCAGACTGAAGTACTACAAAATATGAAATTAAGAGCAACGCCTTTCTCCGCACACAGACCATGAAGGTACCACTTAAGTAACTTCTTTTCCTTCCACGACTTCTGTGTTTCTTGAAATTAAAACACATGTGCTTTTACAAGCAAACACATACATGCCTCCACGTTTTTTGGGAACACTAAAAACTTTACCAAGACCGTGTGGAGGGTCCACACACCTCATCTTGTGGCTGGACCTCAGTTCATGTAACCAGATTCCTCTTCCCGTATCTTCAGGCTATTTTCAGATTTGTGCTGTTACGGCTCTGTGGTACATACCTCAAAGATAAATTTAGGTACACATTGCCCTCTAACTGGTTGTATCCGCTCTTACCTGTACCGGAAATAGATGAGCACAATGGCTGCCCACCCTCTCCTCACAGGGAGCAGTCATCCCCGTCAGTGTGGAACACCGACCTTTGCCTCAGGCATGGCTGCTTACCTGCCACAGCATAGGCACCCTGGCCGTGAGGAGAGACTCGTACATCTCCTCCAGGTCCTCAGTGATGATGCTCTCTCCCTTTATGGCAACTTCAAGATCCTTTAGGGATTTGTGGATGACAGATAGTAACTTGTCGAAACAGTCTATTTCTTTCCTTAGAAAGGTTATCAAGACAGAGTGGACGAGGGGATCATAGCCTGAATAAAGAGAGAGAGAATGTGATGTTTACACAGAAGGAGATTTCTGAGATATGCAGGCTTCCAAGTGTTGTCCATGCATATGGTTGGTAGGCATTTTCTAGACAAGTCTAGAGAGCAAATATTGTAGGTATTTTTTTTTTTCCAATCAACCGTACTCCTTGTTACCATGATTTATCAGAGTGTCACTTAATATGCAAATCAATAAGCAGCCGCTGTGTCTGGCACACGCCTTTAATCCCACTGCTTGGGAGACAGCGGCAGGCGGGCCTCTGACTTCCAGGCCAGACAGAGCTCCTTAGTGAGACCCTCAGTTTAATTTTTTTTTTCAGACTTGCTGGCAGAACTGAAGGCCAGATTTAGCATTCTGAGAGATGCACCTTCAGGTGTCCCCATTGTGCTGGGATCAGATCTCGGGACCACTGTCGACTGTGTGCTGTTGCTGGCCGGGCACCGCCCTGCATCTTGGTAAACTCTTGCTCAACAATTGGCTCCAAAGTGAATTTTGGAAACAGTAGAACTTAGACTATGGGGCTGGAGTGGTGGCTTAGCGGTTAAGAGCATGTACTGCTCTTTGCTCTTGCAGAGGCCCCGAGTTTGATTCCTGGCACCCACATCATAGCTAACAACTGGCTGTAACTCCAGCTTGAAGGGATCTGACATCTCTTTGGTGCCCTTGGGCACCCGTATGTACGTGTATACTCCGACAACATACAATTAAAAAAATAAAAAAAATACATAAAAAAGGGGAAATTTAAAAAAAGGAATTTTGGATGTTAGAATTTAACTTGGAAATTTCTCCCAATCCAGGAATTTATCTCTTCAGAGCTGGACCTGGGCCTGACCTCACCTTCATCAAGAGACCCCTTTTCTAAATCTCACGCTTTGAGCTCTATCCCAGAGGCCAGAGGGCAGGGAGAACACCACTGGACAGCAACCCCAGCTGAGCCCTTGTCTGCTATGATAGCTGCTGTTTCCTTTTTGGACTCCCTCCTCCCTCATACCAAAGCCCGATTTTCCTCTCTGCCACCATCTCCCATCTGGGAGAACGCATGGTCTTTCCAAGCTGTGCTTGTTCTCCCTCCCTCCAGGGTCAGAATCTCTGCTGACGAGGCCACAGCATGGGATGAAGCTCAGGGCCGATGCTCACCTTCGACGTTCTTATGAAGCTTCAACCACATTGGACCAGACATAATACATTTGAATGTGGCTTGGCCCTCAGGCCCCTTGACTTCCTCATTCTCCACTGAAACGGGGAGCTGGACCATTATGTCAGTTAGGAGCTCCATCACCAGTTGGTCGCTGCTCTGCTCAGGACTGCAAAGGAATCAGGTAAAGAATGAGGCAGAGCAACCCTGCTGGGAGTCCCCTCTGCTTTGGCCCCACAAGAGGTAAGAAGCCTCATGGAGCTCTCAGCTGTGACACCGAAGACCTCAGAGACACTGAAATTCACAGAGCAGAAAACTGGTAACTTCTGTGTTTATAAGGAAATCTGTTGTAAAAACCTTCTTTTTCTTTCTTTTCTTTCTTTTCTTTCTTTTCTTTCTTTTCTTTCTTTCTTTCTTTCTTTCTTTCTTTCTTTCTTTCTTTCTTTCTTTCTTTCTTTCTTTCTTTTTTTGAGACAGGGTTCTTCTGTGTAGCTTTGGCTATCCTGGACTTGATTTGTAGACCAGGCTGGCCTGGAACTCATAGAGATGTGCCTGCCTCTGGCTCCCTGATTGCTGGGATTACAGGTGTGCGCCACCGTGCCTGGCTGTAAAAGCCTTCCTAGGATTTGTTTCTAAAACACTTTTTACCTTATGAAGCTTCGCCCACACTGAACAAATTTATTGAACATAATAAATTTGAATGTGCCATGGCCCTCAGACCCAGCGACTTCCTCATTCTACACTGTAGGGCGTAGCTGAAGCATTATGTCAGACATCTGCAGACAGGCATGTGCCCAGACTGAATGTGAAGGAGCAGGAGGCATGCCCAGCAGCTCAGAGGTGTCGATGGGTCAAGCTTGTCACCTCCTCTGCGCTTACCCTAAGCCTTCTTGACCATGCACTCTGGTTGTGGCTGGTTGAGTCTGTGGAGCCACATGACTGGCGGGATGCTTTGGAGTCCTTCCAAAGATGAGGACTCAGGGCCAGGGAACTGACAGTGTGGAGAGCGGGCGAGCAGGGCACACCTACGCTCCTGAGTTCTCTTTGTTGGCTGGGATGGCCTAGGTTTTCACCCAACACCCAGGTTTCTTCTCATTTAGCCAAATGAATGTCATCTTTCAAAGCAGCTGATAACCCTGACATCACCAGCGTGGCCTTTTAGCTCAGTAGAACTGCTTCTGGGCCACCTACATGTCCATTACTCAAGGACATGCATTTTCTACTTGGTCATCATGCTTTGCTTTTTGGCTTTTGCTTCAGTTTCTCAGTAGCCACCCAAGGTGCCTTTAAATAATTTCAAAAGGCAAAAAGTCTCTATTATATTGAATATGACATGTCTCCCAATAGCATCTCACAGACAGATGAGTTTCCATGTTTGAGTAACGTGACTGGAGGAATCATGGCCTCTTATGTGACCTAGGTGACACTATGAAACATGTGTAAGATTCTTGCTAAATGTATTCTAGTTGTGTAACTACTTCTTTCAATTTGAACACTCCTTTCTAGAGAAAGACTCTTTCACACTGAGGAAATTAATTAAACTTAGAAGGCTCAGGGAGTAAAGTCACAAGTCTCAGGAAGTTCCTAAAACTTAGAAGATTTACCAGGCTCTCTGCAAGGTTTTATCAGAATTAATAGTCACTGGGCAGGACAGACTGATGAGCTGAGCTGCCTGCAAGTTTTCGGGAGTTGCCACCTATATTAGGGTGGAGTTTTTGGTAACATAAATGTCTGGCTTATCTATGCTTCTGTAAGTAGCTTGTAACCTGTTGGGAGGACCCTGCTGTTTGAGGTTGCAGTCCGGATAGCCATTCTGAGCTCGGCATTATGGGGCAGGACTCCCTCTTCTTAGCAGGACCTCTTGTTCTCTGCCTGACTTCATCTGGAGAGTATCTCTAGACACAGATGCCCCTAGCCACATTTGATATATGGCCTTTGACACAGCTTCCTGCTAGCTCTCCCCTCCCTGTGCCTATAGGATAATTAGGTAGTGTTTCCATTCATATGATAGGAGTGTGCTGTTAATACAAATCAAGCATCCTTGAAGTGCCTAGTTCCAACTAATTAAGTACACCTAAACTTGGAGCCCCCCCCCCACTCCCCAAGGGGTATACCTTTGTTCTCTGGAATTAAAGTTGAGCTAGCTCCCTGAAGAGGTTCCTGGAGTGTGTGATCTCCGTACAGTGGCCACTGGCCTTTCCAGCCTTGCACCTCGTCTCATGCCCCTCCTGACTTGGTGGACTGGTGGGAGACAGCCCCCAGGTAGAGGAGAACCACGGTAACCCACACTCCTAAAAATAACTTAACTAAACCCACTGGTTCATTAAGCTAGATTTGGGAGGAATTGTTTCTATGTCAGTGGCATATCTGAAATGAGTAGACATCTGTTTACATCTCCCCAGGAAAAACAAACAAACAAACAAAAAAACAAAAAAACAAAAATCCATTATATTCCTGCCATCTTTTGCTGGTGCGGTGTGGCATGCTAATAGCATGAAGTGTGTTATCACAGGCGTGGAGTCTACAGGATTCTGCCTGCTGTTCTCTGGGAACATGCTGATGTTTCCTCCTAGGCATTGCCTGTCTCCAAGTATGCAATTTCCCCTAAGAAGCAGGTACTATATACTCACTTCTAGTGAAGTAGCACTTGAACTGTGTCTATTTTGTGTTAGCAAACAACCCTGGATGACGGATCAAATAGCAAAACCCATGTGCCAAAGCCAGAGAGCATTCTGATGGCTTCTGATTGGCTCCTGATCCAGAGATAAGATGACTAAAAGGTAATACAGAATTCTAATTGGTTTGGGGATCCATCGAAAAAAAAAAATACATGAATTTAGCCAAAGAAGTGTAAGTTCAGTCTATAGGCATCAGAGACTATGTAGTTGGCGCTCAGGGATGTGGGTAATGTGGCCGCCTACCTTGCATAGAATTATGGAGCAATTATCCTGACAGCTACAGCTTCTGGGTATGCTACTTCTACTCCCAACAAGAAGAAATTCCACCAAGGGAAAATTATAGAAAAGATACTCTTGTGCTAAGGAATGTCGTTCTCTAGAATATGGCGTGTGTGTATGCGTGTGGGGGTGTTGGTGTCGTATTCTTGTTTGCATGCTGTGTGCAGGTACACCTGCCTGGGTAGGCATATGTGGGGGTCAGAGCTTGATGTTGGGATGGCTTTTGTCTCCATCCTCTCTCAACCTTAGTTATTAATTTATCTACGAAAACAAGGCTCCTTACTGAACCTGGATCTCACATCTTGGCAAGGCTGGCTAGCAAGCCCCAGGATCCATGTCCCTCCACTTTCTAGTTGTTGGGTTACAGATGTGTGCCTGGCTTTAGCTGGGTTCTGTGGCTCTGACACAGGCCCTCATGCTTGCACAGCAAACCTCCACTTAGAAAGTAACACCCTGAAATCCTGTTAAAGTCATACAAGAAAGAGGACAAAGGAATGTAAGATTCACTGTCCACATCTGAGTATTGGAGTTATAGAAATGATTGACAAACTTGAGAAGGCCTGGCAGACGGAAGGATGCCGACTTTATAACAAAGATTAAGCTACTTGAAAATGTCTGATCAAGTCTACAAGTGGGATGCAAGGTTACCGAAAGGCCTCGACAACGCGGTTGTTAGGATGTGTTAAACCTAGATGCTGAAAAACCCAAAGCAGGGCAGAAGTCGCCGGGCTCTCAGAAGTCCCTGCCAAGCGGTCAGTGCGGCTGTCTGGACACGGGTCCGGTGAGGAACACAGGGAGGAGGAAGTGTGCACACTAGGATCCAGTCCCTAAGCAGTGATGTTTGAGCTCCCTGGGCAGTGTGTACACGCCGGAGAATGGAGTGACCCACTGAGAGCCGAAGTCATGTAGCCCTGGTGTGGATTTCATCTTATAGTCTCAGGGGGAGGAAGCTTGAACTTGGGATACATGCCACATACCCTTTGGACTGTAAAACAGCCTTGCAGGGCAGACAGGTATTTCTAGCCCCTTTCCAGATAAGGCCGCCGAAGCAGCGTGGCACTGGACACAGAATAAATAGAGCTGTAACTTACATGGCTCTCCAACTCCAGGCAAGCTTCTCTTGAGCCCACAGCCCTTCCTGTCATTGAGGTGGCGGCTGTCTGTTCCTCCCGAGAAGCAAATGTGCATGCTTCACATTTAAACAAATTCATTGATAGCCAGGTGTGGGGGTGCACACCTTTAACCCCAGTCTACAGGAGGCAGAGGCAGGCTGATACCTGGGAGTTCAGTTTGAGGTCAGTCTGTCTGGTCTACAAAGCGAGTTCCAGGAAAGCCAGGGCTGTTACACAGAGAAACCCTGTTTTGAAAAAACCCAAACCAAACCAAACCAAAAAAAAAAAAAAAAAAAAAAAAAAAAAAAAAAAAAAAAAAAAAAAAGGAAACTGTATTCACTTAAAGACAACTCACCAGATACAATTCGGTCACCCATCCATCCAAGAAATGTTTACTAAGTACTATGTGCTTGGCAGGTGTGTTGTGTGTACACACGCACACATAAAGCACAGGTGTGTTTGTGCATGTGTATCATGTACTTGCTTCTGTGGTGTGGACAACTTAGTTTATCATGCAAACGTTACTTCTCTGTCCAGATCATGCCTGGTAGCTCCCAGCTACTAAGAATTCCCACTGTGCTCTTACTTGATCAGGAGGCTGATCCGGGCCACTTTTGGTTGCATGGTGATGAGATTTTCAATGAACGTCTCGGTCCTGCTCTCGTTGCAGGTGTGTTTGGCCTTGGGGTGTATTCCTAGTATTTCGGGAGACTCATCATCCGGTAGAGACTGGACCAGGTTTATGCAGTCCTGTAAGCTTGCAAAGACGGACACTGGGCGGTATATCTGAAAGTGTAATAGCTTTGTTACTTTTGCGTGAGTAAGAAGACATCTATCCTGGGTAATGCATGGAGATGGCGTCTCCCCGTGGCCCTTTACACAAAAGCTCTTCTTGTGTCTATATGGTACAGACACTCTATGAAAGCAACACTTGGGACTGCGCTATTGCAAACTATATGAGGAGATGTCATTTAAAGGCTAGGGGAGCCTAACCACTTATTGCCTTAATGAAATATACCCACAGCTAATGGAAACAAGAGGCCTTGAGTACAACCTGTAGAAGCAACATGAAGGAGGCCAAGGCCTCATGTGTTACAAGTGTGGGGACTTCCGGGCAGCTTCCCTTTTGCCCTCCTTGGTTTCTTTGGGTCTGTGGATTGTACCATGATTATTCTATACTTTATGGCTAATATCTACTCATAAGCAATAGGTAAATATCACTTAGATCTGTCTTTCTGGTTCTGGGTTACCTCACTCAGGATGATCTTTTCTAGTTATAATTCGCCTGCAAATTGCATGGTGTCTTTGTTTTTTTTTTTTTTAATTTTTTCTTCACAATTTATTCATTATATATCCTGATTGAAAGCCCCTCCCTCAACCCCCCCACCCCAGTCACTGCTAAAAGACATTTTCAGTGAAAGAAGCTAAGATCATTACAGTGCATAGGATGGACTGGGAGGTTGCAATGGTCATAAAGATTTCAGGGGTTTAAAGCAATTAATTGAAATGCAGGACTTCAGAATACGCACCATTTGTTAACATGGAATGTTGCCGTGGAACGAGCTGTGTGTGTGTTACCTACTGTGTCTCCTGTTCATTTACGTGCATTCAGTGTGACAGTCGGCATACAGAAGTCAAGCACATGACACTGACTGAGCAATTTTAAAGGTTGTTCAAGGCTAATTTTCTCTTTAAGAACTGACTTGAGGATCTGAACTTCAATGCTGCTTTAAACATTTAAGAGCAAACAGGAAGCTTTGCGTACCCAAGAGCAAATGTGCACACTGCTGGGCAGCTAACCTGAGTCTGACCTCTACTCCTTGAGGACACCAGGTCTCGCTCAGGGCCTTTTCCTTCCATCTCCTGCTGTCCACTTACAGCTCCAAATCCCTGCCCCCTACCAAGGGTTAGAGATCACAGTTGTTTCCTCTGTAGCAAACACCAGACAGAGCCTACCTGCTGGTGTCTAACCTGGATCTCTGCCCACAAGGTGGAGGCCTGTGGGGAGGATGGAAGCTAAGGGGGTGAGGAAAGGGAGCAGATAGGAGGTCTGGACTTTACTACCCTCAGGTGCTCATGGTTGAGACAGGGTTCTTGCATGCTAGCCTTCTACAGACTAGCAGTGTGTGCTTTCCACTCAGCATCTGGAGCTGCAAGCTGGGCAAAGAGAAGCTTGGACAACCAGTGGAAAGCACGTGCACATGGCTGGCACGGTCTCATTGGTCTGTGCGTGCGTGCTGCTTCTGCTTCCTTGTGCTTTGTGTATGACACTTAAGATCCTTGGAGGGCACATACCAGCCCTTTCCCATTCTTTTACTTCCTGGTATACTCTGGCACTTAAAAGACAATGGGAAGTTGGTTTTGTAATATTGTTCTGAAAGTTAATGAACGCCCCTAACGTAATCATTACAGTTTGTTTGAAGAATGCAATACAACCTCGTTAAAAGTAATCAGGGCAAACCCATTTCTTACCTCATCACTGGAGAAAGTGAAGTCAGCCTTCAGAATGTCAGCATTACAGAATTTGTAGAAGAGAGTCATCAGGCATCGATTGTCCCACTTATCAGTCACTTGGCCACCATAGGTCACTTCTGTGATCAAGCAGTTGAGCTCCTTCCATGGAATCTCTGTCCGGCCACAGAGGACACTACCCAGCACCCTGATGGAGGCCTGTGCAAAGCCACCATGCTCTGTTAACTCTGCGTGTCTTTCACACAACACCAACAACTCTCAAATGGCCAGTATCTCTCTGAAACCAAGAACCAGGCCCGGAAGTGCAGTCCTCCAGTCTCAGTTACTGTGGAGCCTGAGGCAGGAGGATTACAAGTTCAAGGCCAAGTTGGGCAACCTCAGAAGACCCTGACTCAGCAGAAGTGGACTGGGACAGCTGCAGAGATGAACAGTGATGAAGAGCCTGGCTGCTCTCACTGAGGGTCTGGGTTCCATCCCAAGTAACCACATGGTGGCTCACAGCTGTCTGTAACTCCAGTTCCAGGGGATCTGATCCACCAACACACACAGTCTCTATACCCCTGTGCATAAAATGATAGTAATAACAAAGGTTCTGGAGATATAGCTGAGTGGTAGAGCACTTTCCTGGTAGGTGCAAGGCCGTCGGTACTGAAAAACCAACTAACCAACCAACCAACCAACCAACCAACCAACCAACCAACCAACCAACCAACCAACCAAGAACAGAGAGGAACAAAGTATCAGGATGGGTGTTTTCCCCACCAGCGACTGTACTGCTATTGGGCTATCCCCTCTGCAATTATGGTTGCTGCTTTAACTGAGAAGCACAGGGCACAGGATGCCAGGGCACAGAAGGATGAAGAAAGGAAGTATCTTCTTTCATCCTCCTCCCCTCTCCCCGGAGGCCTACAGCAGCAGGTTGGTGTCCTGAAAATGACTTTGGAGTGACCTTGCATATGCAAATGGGATGCCCACTTCTTCCCCTTCCTCCTGACTCCACTGCCCTCAGCTCTCTTGGCCTCTTCCCTCTGTCTCTCCTGGCTTCCTGACTCTCCTACTCGCACAGGTGCGGCCAGTACATGTCCTGGCCCTCAGCTGTCTCTGTTCAGTGACCACAGCCATTCATGTTCCCATGGTGCGGGTCCTGGTGCTCTGGAGATGTGACTCCACTCTGGGCTCCCCGTGGTTCCACATCTGCACACACTCGGCAATGAGCGACCATAAACACGATGGTGTGGCGACCCCCGCAGCGTTTGGATGTGCAAACGCTTTAAAGTAGGAAGGCTGCTTGTAGGTCAGATGCAAGCACTTCACCATACTTTGCCATCTAAGGGGACCTTGCCACCAAGCCTCTGAGGATACGGAGGGATCCCTGTCATTTGCAGTTTCCCACGGTGACAGGGGGAGCCTGGCTGGGGTTTGTACTCCATCTGGCACTATTTGTTCTCAGCCTCTTCTACCTGACAGTCATTTGTGTGGGAGTTTCTCTACAGTGCCTTTGGACTGTTCATCTTCTTTGTAGTATTGAGAACTCTGTATTTCATAGGTAGTAATTTTTTGTCAGTCATTTCCATCACACATTCTAATTTAAAGGTTCACTCTTTGTTATGTCTATCTGTGCGACGGTGTGTGCATGTGAGTATGTTGGGTCCCTTAGAGCAGGGGGAGTTTATGAGTTGCCCCGTGAAGGCGCCGAGAATTAGAGTCCTCTGGAAGAGCTGGACATGCTCTTCAGTGCGCTTAACTGCAGAACCACCTCTCCAGCCCCTCATTGCAAATCATCTCTGAAGCCTGTTACTTGTCTTCAGTCAACACTCTCAACTGAGCTGTTTGGAGACTGTTTCAGTTCTGGGCTTCTAATTTGAATTAAGTTGTCCCAAACTCCAAGACTGTACATACAATCTCCTAGATTCATTTTTAGAGATTTGTATGCTTGTATAATGCTCTTAACCTTCCTTTCACTCTATAAGTACAGTGCAAAAGATAAAGGACCCAAGTAATTTTCTTCCAGTAGGATGGCTAGCTGTACTGCTATTTTTTACTTAAAACATCTTTTCACTGTGTTGAGACACTGCTGATGTCATAGATGGTGGGGCTGTGGTTACTGGAGGCTGCCCAGCACCCACGTGGCAGTTCACAACCGCCTCTAGCCTTCCGGACGCCAGGCACACACACACATGCAGGCCAAACATCCATACATATTATATCCCATAAATATGGACAATTATGTTAATTTTAGAAACTCACAGAAAATTGGATTTATTTCTGCATTTTTTTGCTGAATCACACTGACTTAGCCTAACCTTTCTGCTAAACTGTTTCCTTCAGGATAGTGGATTTTTAGTATATTTTGATGTCTGGTGAAAAAAAAAATTCCTTCACTTTTTTAAATTTTTGTATCTATAGCTTATTGTTTTAAGATTTCTAAAGTTTTCAATTCTAAATCATCCAAGCTCTAAGCATAACTGCATTATGTTGGGTAATTAGCTTTGGAAGAATGGCCAGTTTGCTAATGGGAAGTCTCCCCTGGAGAACAGGGATGTGTTGGGTTAGAGAAAGCAAGAGAGAAGAAGGGGAGGCACTCATGGCCACTTGCTGTGTAGCCTGAGCAGACTTTCCAAGTGCTCATGGCTCTGTCCCCGTCTGGAACCTGGGGACAGCTAGTGTGCTTTTCTTAGAAAGTTGTCACAAGTGTCAACATTTTAATTAATTAATCTATCTATTTATTTTATGTATATGAGTGTTCTATCTGCATGTGCACCTGTAGGCCAGAAGAGGGCAGTAGCAGGTATAGATGGTTTACTGGAAATTGAACTCAAGAACCTCTAGAAGAGCAAACAGTGCTCTTGACCACTGAGCCATCTCTCCTGGCCTGAGCATCAACATTTTATGATCGAGATGATCAAGAATGTTGTTCTTTTTCTTCCTAATTTATAGTGTTCTTTATGCAGGGCCTGTAAATTTCTTTTTTATTTTCTTTCTTTTTATTTTATTTATTTATTTATTTATTTTGGTTTCTGGTTTTTGGTTTTTCAAGATGGGATTTCTCTGTGTAGCCTTGGCTGTCCTGGACTCACTTTGTAGATCAGGCTGGCCTCGAATTCACAGAGATCCTCCTGTCTCTTATCTTCCCGAGTGCTGGGATTACAGGCCTGTACTGCTACGCCCGGCTTCGCAAATTTCTTATTTTCTCCCTGTGTTTCAAAATTTTTATCACTACAATTCTGGGTGTTTATTGCTAGAGGAAAAAAAAATATATTTACATTTTTATCTAGTCATTTTACTAAATTCTCTATTTCTGTCAAACCTCTCTTAACTTCTTTTCAGTAGTGCATAAGGTTTTCAAGACACACCAGTATTATCCATTGATGTGCTCGGGACGGACCCCAGGACCTGTGCATGCTGCATTTAATATAATACGTCATAGCAATCCTTTCATCTTCCTTCTTGTTACTTATTTCACCTTACTGTTTTTCTCTTATATTTTGATACTTTGCTTAGGTTGTTATTTCTTTTCAGTTTTCTTCATTGTTAAATTTGAGACACATCTGTCTGGGGGCAGCTCTGTATTTCAGCACAGGACTCAGGGGTGTGAGATCATGGGTGTGGTCACTAGTGTGGGGGGCGGGGGAGGCCTAGTTTCCATTTCTCCTTAAATTCATTTCTCTATTCGAGTGAGTAGCAGAGAACAACTATTTCCCCCTCTAACACAGTACAATCCTTCCCCTCGTGTCTGAGCTTGGATAGGAACTCCCTGTGCTCACACTCCTTGGTAGATGGCTAACACGCGGCTGCTGCACTTTACATCATTGGCCGACCCCAGAAACAATGAGCAGACTGTGTTTGTGGCTTCTTGTGAAGTCAGAAATGCCTAATAGACACAGAAGGACATGGGGGAACGGAAGACCTCTTTCCGGCGTGGGACTCGCCGAGAGGAAAACAGTCGCTCTAACAGAAACGGATGGTGATCAGGGCGCATGCAGCACTGTGCACCAGAAGCGCAACTGCAAGAACATTAAAAACAGGGTTTCTCTGTGTAGCCCCAGCTGTCCTGGACCTTGCCCTATTGACAGGCTGGCCTCGAACTTACAGGCCTGCTGTCTCTGCCTCCTGAGATCAAGGTGTGTGCACTACTGCCCAGCAACCTTGAAAAAGTTTAAGCTGATGTGACTGTCCATTTCTTTTATCAGCAATAAAGAAAACATCCTGCCAAAAAGCACAATATAAGGTACTATAACAAAGATAATTTTTAAAAGGATTGTTAAGTTTCCTAGCCCCAGTGGCTCAGTGTAATCCCTCTTGCTTTGAAAGAGAATATTCTAATTTTTATAAGTTATTTACATGTCAGGAACTGATGAAAATGTTTCACTTATATTCACTGAATTAAAACTTTCTTTTTGAACATTTCTTTATTTTTATTTTATATGTATGGGTGTTTTACCTGCATAAATGTATCTGTGTACCACAAATGTGCCTGATGTCCACAAAGGCCAGAAAATGGCATCAGAACCCCTGTAACTGTCATTATTTGACTTGTCCAAAAGATGGAATCCTTGAACAGCCTTGGTGCTGGGGCTACAAGTTCATTCTAGAAAGCGGACTTCAGACTCTCATTTCCAAGTTACACAATGCATTTTCTTCTCACCATGCCTAGCACTGTGCAGACGCACACTAGCTCATGCTCATTATTATAGGTCTCTGCATGTGCTACTGCCTGCCTCCCAGAGCCCATGCTCACCTCCAGGTCTGAGGAGTTGAATTTATAAGGGATGTTCCAGCCCAGTGTTCCGTACACTTTCCTCTCGTTGATCACAGCATTGAAATAACAGAGGCTGAATATAATTTTTTTCCACCATGGTCCACAATCGGCCTTCTCGAATATCTCTTCTGTCACCTCTCCACTCCCGCTATAGCCAAACGTTTGGAGTAAATTGCTTTTCAGCCCCTGGGGACGTTCCACAGCAATCTTTAAAAGAAAAGTGAGTGAAAATGCCAACTGACTACAGATGAAACCTGCCAGGGAGGGACCACTTCTCCCAGCCCTGGGGACAAACATGGCCGACAGCCATGTCAATGACCACTGTCAAATCTAGCCTTTTCCTCCCTCTTCTCAAAGACCTCTGTAACAGAATCTTTCAGATTTTGTACATATTTTATTTTATTTTTTAGACAAAGTATTATTACATAGCCCTGGCTAGCGTGGAACTTACTATGTAGATGCGGCTGGCCTTGAACTCACAGAGGTCTGCCTAATTCGTATTTTAAGGACGAACTGCAGCACTAGTTTGCTAACTGTTTCTGTGACCCCAAGCATAGTGCTTGGAAAGAACAGAACTTCAGAGTCTGACATTGTGCTACACCAGGGGTTGGTAAGCTGTGGCCAAACGGAGCTGCCCAAACCCCACCAGGAGCCAAACCACAGGAAACAGGACACCGACTGAGCCAGCAGGCATAGCCAGCCATCACTCCTATTAAAAGGGACAGTGGTTTGTGTTACTGAATTCTGATTGTCTTGAGAATCAAAGTAGCTGTTGACACCTTCGCTGTAGTAGTTGAAATTATTGGCTGTGAGGGTTTTATGTGTGTGTGGCTGCTAGTCTGAGATAACCAAGGTCTTAACTGGCTCCTGCTTACACACACAAACAAACACATACAAACTAACAATGTAATTGATTTAAACATTGGCAAATACAGTATCTCGTGTGGTTCTTATGACATACAGTACATAAGCACTGTGTGACTATGCATATGCATTATGTGGGTGAGTGTATGTAGGTATGAACACCTGATTTCTAGATTCACGTGTTTCCCAGAGGAGATACAGTGGGAGTTACTGTGCATGATGGGGATCCAAGATGTCACCAGAGCATATTCGGGTGGCTGGCATGGTAGCCCCTCTCTCTCTCCAGAGTTATAGAAACAGAAACTTTTGCTTTGAAATGTAAGCACATCATTTTGGGAGGGAGGACGTTCTCTAACCATTTTTAGAACTCTCTACGCAGACTGGGCTAGCTGGAACTTAGGGAGATCCACCTCCTGCCTTGCCCCTAGGATTAAGAGCATGCACCACCACACCCAGCCTCATTGATAGAGTCTTAAAGTGGAATTAGAACCAATCAAAATCAGTGTTTCTTGAAACTCTATTTCCCTCTTTCTACTTCAACTTCTACTCCTGACCAAAGGAAAAAGGCCACTTGAAGTCACAGTCAGCCATGTCTTGGGAAGTAAATAGCGCCTCTTGAATCATAGGCTGAAAGGCTCCAGGGCAGGGCTGTGGAAAGCAGCCCTCAGCAAAAGTACAGGGAGAGGGGGAAGCATGCAATGTCACAGAGGGTTGTTTCTAGTTTTAGGAATAAGTCTGGCCAGGACAGCTGGTCTGGGCATACTATTTTTTCCTATGTCTTCATCAGTTTCTCTGGGCCTTTCACAGGATTGACCAAGTTTTAGTTGGCTATTGAAAGTCAGACATAACCCACAATTAAGCCTATTTTAGCAAACAGTTTGTTTGCCTTTTGCTACAATTTTTCAGAGAGTTAACAAACCATAGGATGGTTAAGAGGAATAGAAAAAAAGAAATGCCACATAGTTAGGTGTAGTGGCACATACCTATACTCAAGAAGCTGATATGGGGGAATCATCTGAGCTCAGGAGTTCAAGGCCAGCCTGGGCAGCAGAGCAAGACAATATCCCAAGGGAGAAAAAGTAGAAGACAAAGGAAAAAGCTGTACAAAAATTTGCTTCTTGGTTTACAACAACTGGAAGCAGTGTGTCCTCTCTGAGGAGCTAGTGTCGGAGCTAGGAGTACTGAAAGCAGGGATACGTAGCATCCTCCCCCCCAGCAAAAGCTGACAATATGCCCTGAGCACTCTTCTTGGTTTACAATAATGAGTGCAACACTTGACAGTCAAGTAGGGTTTGCTAGTCAACACTGAAATCTGGGTATTTTGTTCTTACCTTCACACCCCTCTGGAGAATAGGAACTGGGAAAGACCCATATGATTTTGAGCTTAACCAAAGCCTAAAGTCAGGATCTATCGTCATATCTGGACTACTAAATCTGCAAAATAAGAAAATGTAAATATTAAAAAATTTGTGCAATATCTTCTTAGAGTCAGAGCATTTTGAGGTTTCTGTGACCTTACAAATTGCCTTGATGCCAAAGAAACTATCTCACTACAGGGGCTTTACACAAAGAATTGTATAGGATTTGTCAGGAGCCATTCTGTTAAAGTAGCTCATTAGGCAGGTGGGCCTCCTGGAAGCGGATCAGGTATTTTGCAAGGTCTATACCATGATCTACCCCAGAATTGCTTCCAGTCTCTGACACTCATTCTTTGTGCACTGCTCTATCTCTCTGTAGCCTGGTATGGTGTGAAGTGTCCCTTTCTGGGTATTTATACACTCTGATTAAACAAATTTCCTATGGGATCTTAATGAAGATCTATTGCTGTTCAGATGAATTAGTTACTGAGTATGGAATTCCTGATTTGATTCAAATAATTTTAAAAGTTAAATTGTTTCAGAACTTCTAAAAAAAACTTTCGAAAGTTTATGGCTGCAATAAGTACCTTTGTGGACCTCCAGATGCCTCACTAGGAGACAGGCTTGAGACAGAATTGTGCCTTCAAGATAAGCCTTCATTATAAATCCTGGTATACACTGTAAATATAGGCAAGTTGGTTTAAACATCCCATGAACCCAAATTATGATGGGATTACCAAGCAATGTCTAATTAAGTACAAACCTTGATGTCATTATATACAAACTGTTCTGTTGTAATTCCTTATACCTTGTTACCTTATGGCATTACATGCTGTCATTTTAAATTTACTTTGTTACTAATAATGAAAGACAGAATAATTGTCCTGAACTCACTATAAACTTAGAGATAGCTGAAAAAAAAATGTGTACTAGTGTCAGTCTTAATTGAAAAGACATATATTCTTGTATCTTTTACACCCTGTTAACCTTTAGGCCTTGTTAACCTTTGTCACTCTGAACCCATACTGAACTTATGCAATGGATACATGGATGAGAAATGTTTAGTTTTAAAACATGTAACCTGTTGTATTTTAGAATGCATCTGTTTTTGTGATTAATTTCCTTTTTGACTATGAGGTAATTCCTTTTCTGGGCGCTTTGTTGCGGAGGTATAAAGGCTAAACAATAAATGGTGGCAGACCCTGCCCCCTTGTTGGCAGAAGCTGAGTGGTGGAAGCCCATTGAATGAAAGCTGGCTGGAATCGAGTCATCTCTGAGTTGTAAATACATATATGATATGTATTTACATGTCAATATGTCTGTCCATTTTTGTACATACGTTACATGAGTATATGTCAATTATCTGTATGTAAGGAGCTCCGTTTGTATCATCTATTGAATGTATGCATGAATATACACAGGTCTATAGGTCTGATTGTTTGTCTATGTATGAATGGGCTGATGCTATGGAACTGGCAGCCTAAACTTGCTGCAGTTTCTGCAGAGGGACACTAGCAGAAATCAACATCATCATCATATGTAAACTTGTAGGAATTCATTGAAGGTAAAGTTCTTAATATCATCCACCTTTTCCCCTTGAGCATGTGTGCATGAACGGTCTTTGCTTACTTTCTCTCCGCTTTAATTTACTTAGCAATTTACAAACAACTTAGCAGATTCAGGATCTAACTATCAGCCTAAGATAAGCAGGAAAAAGTTTACTTTAGCCTGTGGAGGCCTCCTCAGCAGCTTGCTTCTGCACAGAAGCTAATCTCAGATCAAAGAGTCCCATTTTACAATCCCTTGCAGTTGTGGCTAGAAGCCATTTTACAGTCCTGGCTGCAGCAAAAAGGATGAGCAATTAAAGTTTTCCTCCTTAGAAGCAGTGTACCTGGTCCCTAGCCCTAGAGAAGGGATCCCGGGATCCCTCCCCTATTTCTTTTTCTTTTAATCATCTTTTCTGATCAGCTGCTGATCAGTTTCCTGAGCCATTAGCTCAGCTATCTAAGAGATAAAATGAACAGGGGAACTCTGCATCCTGTCCCATGTCCTACCCTGGACCCCGGAACCTTGCCAAAGCAGAGAGAGACTTTGGCAATCGGAACCTAGAAGACTTTAACAAAGAGGCTTGGAGCAACCAGATCAGAGTGAGTTGGCAGCAAACAAGCTCAGGTTTTTTTGGTGCAGCTCTTGGGAGGCCACTAGGCTAGAGAAGTCGTACACACTGGACCCAAGTTGGACAGTTCATATAGTCCCAGGCAAAGGGAAAGGTGATGTTTCAGGCAAGAGCTGCTTTTCTCTGTATAAGGTCTTGAGTTGGGTACCTGATGGTTTTTCAGGATGGGGCTGGCGCCACCTGGAACTCAGTTTTGGTGTCATCTGGGTAAGGGGCTTTACAGTGTGGGTGGGGCTGTAGCAACCTGGAGAGTGGGGCATTCCAGTCCAAGCCATGCTGGTCTTTGTCCTGAGCCATCCCAGCCTAACAATATTCATTACACAAACTAGGGAAAACTTATAAAATACTACCCAAGTGAAAGCCAGGTAAGGCAGTGCATGCCTCCACTTGGGAGGGAAGCAAGGGTTGAGTTCAAGGTCAGCCTTGTCTACATAGCAATCTCAAAAAGCTGGGGAAGTTTGTTTTCTTCCCAAGTCTGCATGTATTAATGTCATCTAACTCAGTGATCCGCCTCTGACTCTCGGGTGACTGATTCTATAAGCGTTATCTTTTCCCAATAGATTTTAAACTGCTAAAGGAGTCACAACCTGAGATTAGCACAAACTATACTTTAAGAGAGACTTTAGAAATCCAGGTTAGGCAGTTATAATTTAACTGAAATCTCCTTTTAAAGAAGAAGAAATGCCCTTGCCGTATGATCCTGGCCATACAGACGAGGCAGGCAGTACAAGAAGATGGGAGGAATATCTGTAGAATGTACCTGGCTAAAACAGTTTTAAATACTCTTTCAAAATAGTGCAAACAAGAAGGCCGAGCCTGTGGAAATCAAGTGAGTCAGTGCTGTCGGGAGAACAGCCTTGAAACGACTGTGGCTGGGCAAGGTGGGAGCAGGGCCAATACAGGCCATTAAGGAAACACTGTGGAGAGCTGGACACGGGGGTTGGTGTTTTGCTGTTGGCAGTCATGGAAAATATTTTTTTAAAATGTCATAGATCTATACCTGGGCAAATGCTAAATAAGATGGACAGTACAGTCTAAGCAGGCACTGAAAAGAAAAGAAAAGCAAAGCCAGGGTGCCCTCAGGAGTTTTCAGGGCAGCTCCGTGTTCTCCAGGGGCTGCGGCATCACCCCGCACAGTGCCTGGTAGCTGTTTCCAGTGTGACTTCACAGTGTGAGTGATTAAGCTGCTCCCAGATGCCCCCAGACTCGTGCACATGGAACTTACGTCTCTATGATAGAGCAGAGTCTGGGCATGAAGGATGTGGCATGGTGGCAGTTCTGGAGGAAGACCCACTGATGCTTTTTTTCCAGGGACTTGAAAATGAGCTCTTCTGCTTTGGCTGCCTGGCCCCGGCCCAGGGAGATGATGTTCACCTGTGGTGGTGTTCCTTTCAGCTCTTGTGCGAATCTCCGGAGAATGTTGTTGAGGTCAATCCCTGTATGATGACATGGAGAGGTGCATAAAACTGTAAGCTCACTTAATTCCCTGACAAGCGCAATCCTGTACTTACCGAGGGGGTATGGTGGGGCTGGTGGGGATGCAGCTGCAGAAGAATGACAGGGATTTTGAAATGAAAGCCTACAGTTCAAGGTTTGTGTCTGCCACTTGCTGGCCTGTGACACCAGTTTCCCAGTATCTGGGAAGGGCAGCAGCCCATGGGCAGAGGCACAACTGGCTGGTTGTCATGCTTGGATCTGTTTGTCCTTTCATTTCCTGAGGATGGATGCCACAGCTGCTCACAATGGCTGCAAACCCAGCTGAAATATGTTTGTTTTTTAAAGCCATTCCTGAAACTAGATATGAGCGCAAAAACCTTGTGCACAGGTTTTGGCAGCAAAAGTGTCTTAGAAAAGTGGGTTGTGAAACCTTAGCTATCTCCTAAAGAGAGGGGTGTATCTCCTTCTGTCCAGACTGATGTCGAACGAGGGGGTGGCTAGTGGCCTGCCCCCATGGTGAGGGAAGTTTCCAGTAAGCAAGTATCAGGTGAGAAAGCCTCTCGGGAGAGGGGCCGCTCTGGACAGAGCCTCTGATTTGGAGAGTGTGAAGACCTGAGGAAAACTGAAAGAAAGCTTTGCGAAGGCCTGCTGAGCAGAGGCAAGCAGCAGAGGTGGAGCGTGCCAGTTAGAGGGATGCACAGCCTACTTCTGATAGTCAACCTCGGGCGACTTTGAAATTAGGAACCAGAAAAACAGCCATTGTGAGTCAAATACAAGTGACCATGGCGTGGGAACAGATTGATAAAACATGTTATACCATGGACTGGTATATTATCTATGATATAAGATATACAACATACAATATATGATATACAGGTACAAATGAATGATCAGTGTTAATGAAAACCGTTAATAAGTTTAAGGGGTGATCCTAACTTTCAGAAGAATACTATGTGCTCGAAGATGTTTTCAACAAGATACCTTCAAGAAATTCAAAGCTGAGGATGGCCTTGAACTTACGATCCTCTTGTCCCCACTTAACAAGTCCTAGGATTTAGGTGCAAGCCACCACGCTCAGTTTAGCTGGTGCCAGGCACGGGAGGTTGCCTCCCCGTTTACAGATTGCTCACCATAGGAGTGAATAAGGATCAGTGGTGTCTGAGCAGTGGACTGTTCGTATGATTCCTTCAGATTAAATGCAGTCTGGTAAATATATTCGCATCCCATTTTTTCAGTTATAAACTTTGTGACTGAAATCTTTAAATGTTCTGGGCGAAGAATTTTAATCTGAAAAAGAAAACAGAAGATAACATAACTTTAGAATCCACTGGGGTGGGGGGCTGGAGAGATGGCTCCGTGGTTAAGAGCACTGTCTGCTCTTCCAAAGGATCCAGGTTCAATTCCCAGCACCCACATGGCAGCTCACAACTGTCTGTAATGCCAATCCCCAATTCCAAGGGATCTAACATCTTCACACTAATGTATATAAAATAAAATTAAATAAATTATTTTAAAAAATCCACCCAGGGGATTAGTGCTGGGGCAAAAATGCAATCAAAGTAAGAAGTGTTCCAACTCTAGCCGGAGTCTTCTGGTATGCTGGGGGAGGTTTAAAGAGAGGGGGGCCTCCTGTCTACAGGTGGGTAGTCTCACCTGTGCTGCCCTCTCCACCCTCAGCTACCTTGTGGCCCCTTCCAGACTTCTTCCACACTCGAGTGAGAGAGCTTGCTGTGGCTACCCAGGCCCACACTGTGCTTGCCAGCCCCACAAAAGCACACTTTTCCTCCACTGCTGTGTCTAGAGCAAGAACCAACACTGTCTGGAGCTGGAAACTGCAGGGCAACCCAACCAGAAGACAATAAATCCTTCCATTCATAAGACAAAAACCAGTGGCCCAGGCTATACGTTTAAGTGGGACAGAATACTACAGGTCTGGAGAGAACTTTGGGCATGTGAACGGTACTGGGCACACATGTCGGACAGGTGTAGTGAGCACAGAACTTCCCATGGAGACTGCCTTATACACAAACCACTTACTACACAATATGTTTTTAGAGTGGGCAAGAAATACATTTTGAGCAAGTTCAGAATCTCTGCATGGGAGGCAATCTGAATCCGAAGCTGAGAATGGACTAGGCAGAACCATGGCAGGTTGCTATTTTCTAAAGCAAAAAATTGTCAAACATTGGAAAGTTTGTGTTTAACATAGTACATATGTTTTTAAAAATGCAAATTGAAAGTCCATACAGAATCTGGGCTCTCACAGCAGACTACCCCAGAGTTAATGAGACAGCGTTCTGATCAGTCAGTATCTTTAGTCTCTGCTCTACTTCTGGGAAGAGACACCATGACCAAGGCAACTCTTATAAAAAGCCTTTAAGTGGGGGCTGGATTTACAGTTTCAGTGGCTTTACTCCATTATCATCACGGATCATGGCAGACAGCGTGGTGGCAGGCAAGCATGGTGTGGGAGAAGTAGCCGAGGGCTATATCCTGATCAACAAGCAGAGAGAGAGAGAGATCTACACTTCCCAATCCTTCTCAAGCAGTGCCACTCCCTGATGACTAATATTCAAATCTATGAGCCCATGAGAGGCATTCTTATTCAAACCACCACCAAATGATCAGGTTGGTCTGACAGCTTCCCTGCTGAGAGCCCAGGCTCTGAAGTGGGATCCTGACCCTTTGCCACCATCAGGCTGCTAGCCTCTTCAAATGACCATTTGGGCATTTGTGTTAGTTTTAATATCAAGGACATTGTTTTTGAGGGATAGGAGGAAGATGAAGACAGAAGAAAGAGCATTATGGTGAATTAATTTTCATCATCTTTTTTTCTAAATTAATTTTTACAAGTAGCTGTAAATACTTTGAAAGATTTCCACATGCTCCTATCTGTTCATCGTCTTTGCCCCTTGGGATGGCTATTCTTGGTTGTCAACTTGACTACATTTGGAATTAACTGAAACTTCAAACTGGGACACACATGTGAGGGGTTTTTGTTTAGTTTGAAGTGGGAGGATCCACTTCTAATCTGGATCTTTGAGGGGGGAGACAGACCTCTAACCTCCCTTGTCTTCTGCTGGCAGCCTACATAAAGGATGTGGAAGAAAAGTTCTCTCTCTTTGCTAGCAACTCCATTCTTTCACTGGCACTAAAGCCTACTTCTTCAGGATTCCATACACTGAAGACCAGCGGAGACATCCAGCCTCGTGGACTGAAGAGCTACTGGATTCTTGGACCCTCTGTTCATTCATAAGCAGCCTCTGTTGGATTAGCTGGATCTCAGCCTGTAATTCATTCTAATAAATCTCCCTTTTATATACATAGAGAGATTTATTTCCTAAGTTCTGTTACTCCAGAGAACCCTGACCAATACACCCACCTTTTTTGTCTACTGACCACACACTGAAAATCTCTGAAACTGAGCACAAACAAGCCTTTTAAGTTGGTTACCTTTGGCATTTTGCTACCTTAACAAACTTGACTAACACACACTCAATACTATCTTGTATCTCCCAGACTCCAAGCTGGATTCTAAAGCAACAGACAGGAGCTGTGTGAAATGCTGCCTTCATAAATGCCACATCGGTGGATGTGATTCAGCTGTGAGTCAATTCAGGAATCTGACATATTGCCTGTCATAAGCAGATTGGGCAGCCATTGCCTTCTCCCTTGAGGAGTGGTGTGTCCCTGTAATTAAAGCCTGGAGGGGACAGCAAAGACTAAGCCCTGTAGGCACATCTGCAGGGTGGAGCTCAGAAGAACATGGGAGACCATGCTGGCCCCAGGCAACTCAGATCATCCCTCAAGGGTTCGTCTATAGAGGATGTATGAGGGGCGTGATCACCACGGTGGACCATGGGCTGGGGGTGGGGGTGGGGGGGCCAGGGGTGGGGATGCTGGTCCCTCCTCCCTGCCAAGGCTCAGTAAACCTTAGCTTTTGGAAGTCAAGCATATTTTGCTTATAAAATTTAATTTTGAGGGGTTCAAACTACCAATAAACTTACTTGAAGCATTTAGAAGCTTAATCTTTTGCCTTAACATATCTTACCAAGATGAGTCTTTGAAATGGAGTTAGGTTTTCCCAAGGAAAAGTTATAGGGCCAAGTATGTCACAGTCTTCACTCAGCAGTTCCTCTAGACACCATCAAGAGAGACTGAAATTAACAACCGGACAACTGTGCCACTACAATATGCTACAAAATGGATTTATATTATAGAATTATGAAAAGAAACATGACTGGCTAAATGAGTGAGTGTTATTCCTAGGACCTTGGGCATCACTAATTGTCCTCATCATGAAGTGATGTGGGTAGGTAGGGATGATGTGGCCACAACAGCTGTAGGAAAATGAGAAGCAAAGGACACAGGGAGGCCCTCAGCACCTGTCCTTTACGGTGAAATTTCTACTCAACATTCCCAGACCAGGCAAGGGAATGAGAACCCACAGAAGCGCAAACAGGATTACCACAGCTTTGAAAACTTAAATGTTACATTTACAGAGGTGTTTTTGTTTGTTTGTTTTTAATACGGACTCCTTTCACCATGGCAATGGAGTTTTGCTAGAGGAGCAGGACCCTCTCCAGGCCTCGTTTCCAGCCACAGCTGTTGTTTCTATGTTCACTGCTTCTTTGGCATTTCCTGAACATCTAACTTCACATACAACTTGGATTATAAAAAAATATGTTTTGATTGTGCTAATATTCTGATTAAAAAAATTTCCATGGTATGTTTAAGTTCAAAAATGAGTGGATAAATTTGGAGTTAGTTCCTTTACATAAAAATTATCACTTGTGTTACATTAAAATCCCTTAGGGATCACAGGTAGATCAATGTAGCAAATAAAATCACAGGGATCCACAAACACAATTGTGTTGGGAGGGGGGTGCTTCTTCATTAGAAGTGGAAAAGCAAGGAGATAGAAAATAGAAATAATTGATGAGATAAACATCTTACTACCTGAATATCACTGATTCTATCAACCAATAAATAATGAACAGATTTAGAAAAAATAGACAAAACCAATTATATTCATGAATAGTATTCTTATAAACAAGCAAAAACGAGATAAACAATTCACTACAAAAAATGGATGAAATATATGTATGACTAGGCAAATAAAATCACCAGTAACTCTTTGAAAGGGACTTGCTAACTGGAATTTTAAAATTGAAGTATTAACTTTTCAGATGGGTTCAACCCAAAAACATATCAAGACCAGCCAGGCATGGTGGTGCATGTCTGTAATCCCAGTACTCAAGGAGACAGAGGCAGGTGGAGTTCTGTGAGTTCAAGGCCTGCCTGGTCTATAAAGCGAGTCCAGGACAGCCAAGGCTACACAGAGAAACCCTGTCTCAGAAAAACAAAAACAAAACAAAATTAAGACCTCTTGTGGAGAGATGGCTCAATGGTTAAGAGCATACAGTGACCTTCCAGGGGACCCAAATTTGAATCCCAGTGCCCACATCAGGTGACTCATAAGCATCTGTTAACTGGAGCTTCAGGGGCATCCTCTGGCCTCTGCAGGTACCTGCACTCATGCGCACATACATACATTAATAACACTAAAAAGCCAAAGTTAAAAAGGATAAGGGGCATGCATACTGCTGGTAAAAATACATAATTTAGATTTTAAAAGAAATCAACATGGCAGGGATTACTAACTAGAATTTCTACTTCTGGAATTCTCTTTCTTACAGACAGAAAGTATGTGTGAGAATGTTGATGTTATTGTACATTATAGCAAAACCCTGCAAGCAAAAATGGAGTAATATGTGGTAGGAAATGAACTAGGCTGTGTTCCAAGTGGGATGTCATAGTGAAAGGGGTGAGAAAAATGCAGAGCCGAGTTCAAAGCAGAAAGAGAAAAGGAGAAAATGTGAAATTAAAAGATCCATTTCTGATCTGAGGCCCCTGAGACCAGCCAGGTTCAGGGAGCAGCAGGTAAGAGACCTCTCCCCTCCACTCCCCCACCCCCACCTGGCCATCTACTGGCCTGCCACAGCCTGCCTGCAACAGTGGCCAGGTCTGCCCCGGGGCCCTCTGTGCTGTACTTCCTCTGCTTGCTCCATGCCCCAGTTCCCTGGCCAGTGCCATTCCCTGGGACCCACCCAGCTCTGAGGCATTGGGGACCAGCAGAGATCAGGGAACAGCAGGAAAACGAGAGGACTGAGGACATCTGGGACCACAAGCTCTACCTATAACCCTGGAACCTATTCCTAATGGAGACCACCAGGCCTGCTAATAACCATCAATCAAATGGCTAGAAGTTAGTACAAGAAGACCAAGAACACCAGCAACAAAACCTAGGGCCACATGACAACACCAAAACTCAGCTACCCTACCACAGCAAGCCCTGATGATCCTATCACACCAGAAGCACAAGAAAATGATCTTAAATCTGAGGTTATGAGAATGATAGAGGCCTCAAAAGAAGAAAATAAATATCTTAACAAACTGCAGGAAAATATAACTAAACAGGTGAAGGAATTGAATAAATTCCTTAAACACAGGAAAACACAATCAAACAGGTGAAGGAACTGAGTGAATCCCTTAAAGAAATACAGGAAAATACAACCAAAAAGAAGGAAATGAACAATACTGTCCAGGACCTAAAAATGGAAATACAAGCAATAAAGAAAACACAATCTGAGGTAGTCCCGGCGATGGAAAACCTAGGGAAGAGAACTACAGACACAAGCATCAATAACAGAATACAAGAAATGGAAGAGAGGATCTTAGGTATAGAAGATACGACTGAAGAAATTGATCAATACATCAGTCAAAGAATATGTTAAATTAAAAAAAAATTCCTGAAACAAAACATCCAAGATATGGGACAATATAAGACCAAACATAAGAATAATAGAAATAAAAGAAGATTCCAAATTCCATGACTCAGAAAATACTTTCAACAAAATTATAGAAGAAAACTTCCCCAATCTAGAGAAAGAAATGCCTATAAACATGTAAGAAACCCACAAAACACCAAATAGATTGGACTAAAAAAGAAAAGCAAAACACTAAATGTACAGAACAAAGAATGTTAAAAGCTGCAAAGAAAAAAAGCCAAGTCACATATAAAGGCAAACCTATCAGAATTACACCTGACTTCTCACCAGAGACTGTGAAAGCCAGAAGGTCAGATGTCGTGCAGACACTAAGAGAGCACAGATGTCAACCCAGACTACTATAGCCAACAAAACTTTCAACCACCATAGGTGGAGAAAACAAGCCATTCCATGACAAAACCAAATTTAAACAGTACCTACCCACAAATCCAGCCCTCCAGAAGATACTAGAAGGAAAACTCCAACCCAAGGAGGCTCACTACATGCAGGAAAACACAGGAAATAAATAACCCCACAGCTGCAAAACCAAAAGAAAGAAAGCACGCACACACACTCTATCACCGCCAACATCAAAATAACAGGAAGTAACAGCCACTGGTCATTACTATCTCTCAACATCAATGGCCTCAACTCCCCAATAAAAAGACACAGGCTAACAGAATGGACGTACACACCACAGCAATAATGATAGACATTACCTCAGAATAAAGGGCTGGAAAAAGGTTTTCAAAGCAAAAGGACATAAGAAACAAGCTGGAGTAGCTGTCCTGATATCTAATAATAGACTTTCAACCAAAATTAATCAAAAAAAGGTGGGGAAGGGCATTTCATACTCAAAAAATTGACCACGATGATGTCTCAATTCTCAACATATATGCCCTACATGCAAGGACACCCACATTTGTAAAGGACATATTACTAAAGTTTAAATCACACAACTGAATCCCACACTTTAATAGTAGGAGACTTCAACACACCTCTCTCACCAAAGGACAGATTGTTGAGATGGAAATTAAACAGAGAAATAATAAAAGTAACCAACATTATGAGTGAATTGGACCTAACAGATATCTACAGAACATTCCATCCAAACACAAAAGAATATACCTGCTTCTCAGTACCTCATGGAACCTTCTCCAAAATTGACCACATACTCAGGACACAAAGCAAGCCTCAACAAATACAATAAAATTGAAGTAACACCTTGTATTCTATCAGACCACCATAAATTAAAGCTAGACTTCAACAATAACAGAAACAATAGAATGCCTACAAACTCACGGAAACTGAACAACTCTACTTAATGACCACTGGGTCAAAGAGGAAACGAAGAAATTAAAGACTTTATAGAATTCAATGAAAATGAAGAAACAACATACGTTCAAACCTATGGGACACAATGAAAGCAGTGCTAAGAGGAAAGTTCATAGCACTAAGTGCCTTTATAAAGAAAGTAGAGATAGTTCATACTAGCAGCTTAACAGCTCACCCAAAGCTCTAGAAAAAAAGGAAGCAAACACACCTAAGAGGAGTCGACAGCAGGAAATAATTAAACTCAGGGCTGAAATCAATAACCTAGAAACAAAGAGAACAATACAGAGAATCAACAAAACCAAGAGCTGTTTTTTTGTTTTGTTTTGTTTGAGAAAATCAACAAGATAGATAAACCCTTAGCCAAACTAACTAAAAAAAAAAAAAAATAGAGGGGGGAGTATCCAAATTAATAAAACCAGAAATGGAAAAGGAGGATATAACAACAAACACCAAGGAAATTCAAAGAATCATTTGGTCGTACTTAAAAAACCTGTACACCACAAAAATGAAAAACCAAAATGAAATTGATGATTTTCTTGATTCCACTTACCAAAGTTAAATCAAGATTCTGTTAACAATTTAAATAAACCTATAATCCCCAAGGAAATAGAAGCAGTCATCAAAATCCTCCCAACCAAAAAGAGCCCTGGACCAGATGGTTTTAGCACAGAATTCTACCAGATTTTCAAAGAAGAGCTAACACCATTACTCCTCAAACTTTTCCACAAAATAGAAACAGAAGGAAAATTGCCAAACTCATTATTTGAGGCCACAGTCATTCTGATACTTAAACCACAAAGACCTAACACAGAAAGAGAATTTCAGACCATTCTCCTTTATGAGCATTGATTGCAAAAATACTCAATAAAATATTTACAAAGAGAATTCAAGAACATATCAAAAATATCATCAACCATGATCAAGTAGGCTTCATCGCAGGAATTCAGGGATGGTTCAGCATACAAAAATCCATCAGTGTAATCCACCATATATATAAACTGAAAGAAAAAAAAAAACCACACAATCATCTTATTAGATGCTGAAAAGGCCTTTGACAAAATCCAACATCCCTTCATGTTTAAAGTCTTGGAGAGATCAGGGATTCAAGGCACATACCTAAACACAATAAAGGTGATATACAGCAAGCCAATAGCCAACATCAAGTTAAATAGAGAGAAACATAAAGCGTTCCCACTAAAATCAGCGACAAGACAAGGCTGCCCACTCTCACCATAGCTCTTTAATACTTGAAGTTCTAGCTAGAGCAATAATACAAGTAAAGGTGATCAATGGGATAGAAATTGGAAGAGCAGAAGTCGAAGTATTGCTGTTCACAGATGATATGATAGTATACACAAGTGACCCCCGCAAGATTACAGCAGGGAGCTCCTGATAAACACCTCCAACAAAGTGTTTGGATATAAAATTAACTCAAAAAATTCAGTAGTCCTCCTTTATACAAGCAACAAAAGGGCTGAGAAAGAAAGTAGGGCAACGATATCCTTCACAGTAGCCACAAATAACATAAAGTACGTTGGTGTGACTCTAGCCAAGCAAGTGAAAGACCTGTTTGAAAAAAAACTTCAAGTCTTTGAAGAAACAAATTGAAGAGGATTTTAGAAGATGGAAAGATCTTCCATGCTTATGGGTCAGTAGGATTAACATAGTAAAAATGGCCATCCTGCCAAAAGCCATCTTCAGAGTCAACGCAATTCCCATCAAAATCACAATACATTTCTTTACAGACCTAGAAAGAGCAACCATTAACTTCCTGTGGAAAAATAAAAGACCCAGGATAGCCAAAACAATTCCAAACAGTAAAAGAACTTCTGGTGGTATCAACATCCCTCCCTGATCTCTAGCTATACTACAGAGCAATAGTAATGAAAACTGCATGGTATTGGCATAGAAAGACAGGTTGATCAATAAAACTGAATTGAAGACCCAGAAATAAACCCATACTCCTACAGGCACTTGATTTTCGACAAAGAAGCCAAAACCATACAATGAAAAAAAAAAAAAAAAAGTATCTTTAACAAATGGTGCTGGTCTAACTGGATGTCTGCACGTAGAAAAATGCAAAATGCAAGTAGACCCGTATTCCTTTTCATAAAACCAGAGACTCTAAACCTATTAGAAGACAAAGTGGGGAAAAGTCTGGAACTTATCTGCACAGGAGACAACTTCTGAACAGAACACCAGCGGCATAGGCTCTGAGATCAACAAGTAATAAATGGGCTCTCACGAAACTGAGAAGCTTCTGTAAGTCAAAGGACACTGTCATCAGAACAAAATGACAGCCTACAATTGGGAAAAGATCTTCACCAACCCTACATCAGACAGAAGGCCAATATCTAAAATAAACAAAGAACTTAAGAAATTAAATATCAACAAATCAAATAATCCAATTAAAAATGGGGTACAGAGCTAAACCAAAAATTCACAACAGAGGAATCTCAAATGGCTGAGAAGCACTCATAGAAATGCTCAGTGTCCTTAGCCATCAGGGAAATGTAAATCAAAACAACTCTCAGATTCTATCTTACACCAATTGGGATGGCTAAGATCAAAAACTCAAGTGACAACACATGCTGTTGGGGATGTGGAGAAAGGGAACCCTTCTCCATTGCTGGTGGGAGTGCAAACTTGTACAACCTCTGTGGAAATCAATCTGGTGTTTTCTCAGAAAATTGGGAAGAGTTCTACCTCAAGACCCAGCTATACCACTCCTGGGCATATATCCAAAATATGCTCCAACATACAACAAGGACATTTGTTCAAATATGTTCATAACGGCTTTATTCATAATAGCCAGAAACTGGAAACAACCTAGATGTCCTTCAGCCGAAGAATGGATACAGAAACTGTGGTATATTTACACAATGGAATACTACTCAGCTATTAAAAACAAAGAAATCATGAGATTTGCAGGCAAAGGGATGGAACTAGAAAAGATCATCCAAATTGAGTTAATCCTGACCCAGAAAGACACATGGTATGTACTCACTCATACGCGGATAGTGGACCTATAGTGCAATTCACAGACCCAAAGAAGCTAAGTAACAAGTGGAGCCCAAGGGAGGGTGCCTGAACGTCACTCAGAAGGGGAAACAGAAGGGGAAATATAGACAGCAGAAGTGGATGGAGAGAGGGAACTGGACAGGAGATGGAATGGGGAGGGAAACAAGGGTGAGGATCCAATGTGGGGAGAATGGGGGTGGGAGGTGAGAGGGCTGGGAACAAAAAGGGAAACTGAGGGAGCACATCTCTTCTTCTAACAGGCCTGTGACAGGGTACACTCCTGGGAGTACGTGGGTGTGACTCTAGCTGAGCCTCCTAATGGGGGGTGGGGGGCTGAAGACTGAAGTGACCACCTTCTAGCCAGGCAGGACTAGTGGAAGGAGAGGAACAACAACCCACCGACAAAACCTGTGATCTAAACACAGCCCTGCCTACGAGAAGTGCAGGGATAAAGAGGCAACAATGATTGAGGGAAAGTCCACCCAATAATTGGCCCAACCTGAGACCCACACCCCACAGCAGAGAGCCAGCCCCTGACACTAATATTGATGCTCTGCTATCCTTGCAGACAGGAGCCCAACTTGACCATCACCTAGGAGGCTCCAACCAGCAGCTAGATTGGAACAGACGCTAGGACTTGCCGCCAAGTGGGGCCCTGGGGGTTTTGTGGAAGTGTTGAGGGAAAGATGGAATGACCTGGAGAGGACAGGAAACTTACAAGAGCAACAGAGACAAAGAGCCACCAGTCCCATGGTGGCTTTCAGAGACTAAGACATCAACTAAGGAGCATATATGATCTGAACCTAGGACCCCTGCACACATAGCCAGTGGGTGGCTTGGTCTTCATATGGGGTGCCTGGCAAGTGAAGGTGGGGGTTTGTTTGTAAGGGACTCCATTGCCTGCTTTTGGATCACTTCCCCCAGGCAGGGCTGCCTTGCCTGGCCTCAGGGGATGAAGCTATGCTTAATCCTGATGTGATTTGATGTGCTGGTGAAGGTTGATGTGTTGGGGGGAAGGGAGAGGTGAAGTGGAGGAAGAGGGGAAGATGGATTGGGAGAAGAGGTAGGAGGGGTGTAAAGTAAATTAAAAAAAATCCATTCCCCCCAGCACTTGGGGAGGCAGAGGCAGGCAGACTGCTGTGAGTTTGAGGCCAGCCTGGTCTACAAAGCAAGTCCAGGACAGCCAAGGCTACACAGAGAAACCCTATCTCGAAAAAACCAAGCCAAACCAAACCGGACCAGACCAAACCAAACCAAACCAAACCACCACAACAAAGAGATACATTTCCTGTGCAGTTCTTCCCTGGGCATATTGTGGTTTTCATGGGTGTCTTTTTTCTTTCTTTTCATGGTCCTGGGGATTGAATTGGGGACCCTTGAAACCCTGGGCTGTGTGTTCAGCTCCTGCAAAACTTTCTGAACAATGTCTGTGACATAAAATGAAGGCTCAGAACCAGTGTGCTGTAATGATATACTGGTATATTTTTATTTTCAAAGTTCAGAAGGCCCACCAGTTTCTCACCTGTTAACAGTGAAATTCCTAAAAAAAGAAAAAAAAAAAATCACTTCCTAAGTTTATTGTAAGGCTTGCCTGGATTCAGATGTGCCATACAGAACACAGCAATGTCTTCATTTCTACCTTTTATTTATTTACTTTTTTTTCCTTTTGGAGAGTGTTTTTCTTGTGTAATCCTAAGCTGTCCTGGAAGTCAGCCTGTAGACCAGGCTGGCCTCAAACTCAGAGATCTGCCTGCCTCTGCCTCCGAGTGCTGGGATTAAAGGCATGTACCACCACACAAAGCTCACGACCTACCTTTATACACTGAAGATCTACACATGCATGCATACATTTGGTAAGCTTACATTAAAGCACCAAGAGTCCTACCCAACTCTCGTGAGGTGGAACTTTGCTGAGGTGAAGCCTCTTCTGAGGAGAAAGGCCTGTCAAGGAGAGAGTACGCATCCTTAGTGTCCCTAAAGGTGTTCCATTGCTGCTTATAGGACAAGAGTGATCTGCAGAGAAGTGAGAAGGGCTCCATCTGGCTGGCGATGTACTGACACTGCCTCCATCTCAGCTCCGGCACCCACTGAAGATGTTCCTCCTTAATTATTTCAAATATACCTAAGAGAGAAGGGAGAGTGGTCACAGGGCAGAGAGAACCTTCGCCTGCTCGACAGCTAACAAGCATTTGCTGTTGAGCAAAGAGCCACTTCTTATGAAGGTCAGCTGGAGGGGCTGGAGGCACAGCTCAATGGGACAGTGCTTGTCTAGCGTGCATCGGGCCATGAGTTCTGTTCCCAGCATCCCCGATAAACAGACAGACACATTAACCAGGGAAGGTGTTTTTTGTTTTTTGTTTTTTTTTTTTTAAATGGGAGAAATGACATAACAAAACTGATGGTCTGGACCACATCAGCACAGAGCTCAGTACTGCGGACACCCGTACCGTGTAACATACATGTCTAGAGCTGCTCTACATGCAGCTGGCAACATCCTCTTTTCCCTCCCCCAAGCTCCTGGTGGCCAAAATTCTATTTTGTTTCTGTGAACTGACTTCCTTCAGACACCTCAAAGGAGCTGCTTGGATTTTTGTGACTGTCTTACCTCATTCAACAAATGTCCTTAAGGCTCAACCACACTGTCACATGTGATGGAATGTCCTTTCTTTTAAAGTCCATCCCAGTTGCATTTCTGTCAGGTTTTGTTTACTCCTCCCCTCTACTGGCGGACATGTAGCAGTGCATGTCCTGACTGCCAGCTGTCATGAATGCACCGCTCTGGATTTAGCTGGGTAAGGATGTCTTCCAGATCGCACCACAGTCTTTTGGGTCTGTTGAATTATTTAATTGTTTTATCTTTAATGTTTTGGGGAAATGTCATTCTGGCTTTCATATTTATGGTTCTGTCAGGCAGACGTAAGTGTTTAAGAGACCACTGCCATGGCACTGTAAAAGGATGGCCCCTAGCCAGCTGCTCTGCGCTGAGAGATTTGGAACCTGGGGAACCTAGCAGAAAGGGTCTACTGGGTGGATGGTTCTGGTCCTAGCCCCAGCTTGCAGCTTCCTGATCCACCACCAGGGTGGGAACAAGCTATGTTGGAAAGTTCCTGCTCTTATCCTCAGGCTGACACCCCTGAAAGTGTGAGCCTAAACAATTCCTTCTTTTTGAAATTATTTCCTTCAGGCATTCTGTACTAGTGACTAATACCAATGGCAAACCTTTTCCTTTATTACCTGTTAGGACTTAAAATGTGTGTGCGTTTGTCTATGTGTGTGTGTATCTGTGGTGTGTTTGTGTGTACCTGTGTGTCTGTGTGTGTGTGCGTGGTGTGTTCATGAGGATGTGCCTGCATGTGTGTATACACGCAGTGGCCAGAGAACACCGACTGCTGATTTTGCTCAGCTGCTCTCCACCTCTGTTTCTGAAACAGCATCTCCCAGTGAACCTGAAGCTCACAGACTTGGCTCCACTGGCAGGCCTATGAGCTACCATTGGTTCCATGCACACACAATTGTGCCTGGCTTTGTAACGTGGGTGCTGGGAACCTGAGCTGGCTCCCTCCGGTGCTTTACCAACTGAGCCTTCGTCTTCCCGGCCCCTGCTAGGACTTTCATAGTTTCAGCTCTTACTAATCCCTTTAGACTCACTGTTTGTATATGGTATAAATTAAAGGTCCAACTTCATTCTTTTATATGTGCTTATCCAGTTTTCCCAATAATTGAATGCAAATATATGAGAGTTCATTTATGAGCTTTTTTTGTTATTAAGATTTATTTTTATTAAAAGACCATCCCCCAATGACATGCTTCCTCCAACAATTAGGCCACACCCCCTAATCCTTCCAAAACAGTTCCACTAACTGGGGACCTCATGTTCAAACATATGAACTTCTTGGGAGCATTCTTACCCAAACCAACACGGACAGGTCTGTTTCAATAGTAAGTAAAGAAACATTATCCAGGAAGGAGCCTGATGGCACTGTGATCAGTGTGGGTCCCTATCCACCACTAGGTATCCTGCTTTACGTTAGGACTACCATAATCTTACTAACTAGTTGTGACTTCTTTGTTCCTTCACTCACTCAAAAATGACTTAAGAGGATGGTGAGTTCTAGGCTGGTTACACAGAGAGACGTTTTCTGACAATGTAACAAGGAACTGAGTGCTGACTCCATGTTCACACACTGGTAAATCTGGTGTGAAACTCGGCCTCAATTACAGAGCAGTAACCCTCAAAACCTTTTAGAATTTACAAGGAGTCATATTTTAGTGTTTTTATTTTTAAACCATATTCCAGAAAAATTATTTTCACTTACTGTTCAGTCTAGGCTTGGATAGTATATTTTTAAGATTTATCAAAATGGAAGAATATAAAAAGATGTTCCATTCCTCTTCTGTTAGAAATCCCATGTCATTGAACGCCACAGCATCATTGGCATTTTCTCTCATGATCGTGGTGCAAAGCCGGAAGGAGAAGCAGAGTTTATGCTCATTAAATAGAGCTGAAGAGACTACCTACAGAAACCACAACCATTACATGAGCCCAAGAGGCAGTGCTCGAAAGACTCGAGGGAAGAGGATAGCTTACCTTAAACACGTTTCTCGTCAACACTTCTATTGCACTTTCAATATTCTGGCCTAAGGGATTCTCCCCGCTTTCCAGATTCTGCTGGTCTGAGGTACTTGGGGAAACTTCATCAGCTTTTTCCTCTGATGTGTTGTCTGGTTCCCCATCTTGTTTCTGTTTGTTGTCTTTGGCAACTGTAGAAGAAACAAAGATCTGCCGGAACCAGTCCAGGGAGAACTGGTAGATGTACTTCACCTGCGTGAGGCTGGTCACCACGAAGTAGAGGAGTGTGCCTCGCGTGGCAATGGGGAGGTAGTTTTTGCAACTTGCTTGAATTTTACGTTCTGCTTCTTTTGTTCCTTTGATACGCTGCGAAAGTTCGTTTGAAGTGATTTTGGATTTTCTTAGGGTTTCTACAATTTCTTCAGCATCTAATATACATCCTAAAAATGAACAAAATGTGAATTTAAACAAAAACTGTTGAAATGGCAAGTGTCCCATTCTGGGCACTGTGGGAGTTTTCACTGTCAACTTTTTGCCGGTTTTATGTCCAGACAGAGTCTTCTTCTTCTTTCACTAGTTAAGCAGAGTTGCAAGTTTCATTAAAGAAAGTTTAATTTAGGCTAAAACATAAGGGTTAGGAGAAGAAGAGGTGCTCACAAAAAGTAAAGATAGATCTAAGTGTGGGCATGGACTTCAGAGGAAAAATTACTCATAGAGTTTACAATGAATAATGTCATGTTTCTAAGAAGTAGGATTGACAGTGTGCAGGCCCCGCTTCTCACTCTGGAGAAATTCTGTTTTCAAATTCTATTTTTATTACAGGAACATAATAAGTAAAATTTCATCATAAAGAATACATTCGACCTTACACACAGACACACACACACACCACACGCACAAGAGCAGAAGAGGTTGGGGGCGTAGCTCGGTGGTTAGAATAATTACCTGCATCAACGGGCCCCTGGGTTTATCCCCAGCCCACCCCTCGATCCAGAAAACAGCAAGCACACTATCGTTTCATGTAATACCCTCTGCGGTTTTGTTTTGATAAGTAAGCGGCATTCCTTTACCATTATTAGATTGCAACTCTTGAACAAGCACCAGGCTAGACAAATTCTTCCCATTTCAAATATTTCAAGGGAGCTCTCAGATTTTTATTACAAACTTTACCTCTCTCTCTCCCTCCCCCTTTCTTCTTCTCCTTCTCCTTCTTCTTCTTCTTCTTTTTTTTGAGACCAAGTCTTAGGATGAAGACTAGGCAGGCCTTGAACTCACAGAGACTCAAATACCTCTATTTTCCCAGTGCTGGGATTAAAGGTATGTGCCACCTGGCCTTTTTAGTTAAAATTTAAGAGAGCAACCGTGGTCACTAGAGAGATAGCTCATGGATTAAGAGTATGTGTTGCTCTTGTAGAGTACCCAAGTTCTGTTCCCAGTACTCATGTCTAATTCCTAGCACCAGTGGTAGGTGGCTCAAATCTCCCTCTAACCCCAGCTCCAAGGGTCTGGTGCCCTCTTCTGGACTCTGCAGACATCTGTTGTATACTCCTCCTCAGATACACCTAATTACAGGATAAAATAACAATCTTTCTTTTTTTAAACAACAGTCTTTAAAAAGAAATGATTTTTGTTAAAGTCATTTTTAGTGAATGTTAGCAGCTAAAATTATCCCATCCTGACAGAACATAAAGCTGGCAGAGCATGACCATCAAGAGCATATTAGAGGCATGTACTTTTATGACGGGTGTTAATTTTCACTTGTTTCATATGAGTGGTTCATGCAATGAGAGGCAGAGAGACAGAGACAGAGACACACAGAGAGCCTCTGACGTGTGCGAGATAAACTGGCTATCTTTATGTCCATGGCATAGTACCTACAAGTACTTCAAACCTGTCAGGTTTTATTTTTTTTTCCTCTTTTCTCTTTATTTCATTTTTTCTTTTATTGAATAATTTTTTTTGCTTTTATTTTAGACAGGCAGTGGTGACACACACCTTTAATCCCATCACTTGGGAGGCAGAGGCAGGTGGATCTCTGTGGGTTCAAGGCCAGCCTGGTCTATAGAGCGAGCTCCAGGACAACCGAGGCTACACAGAGAAACCCTGTCTCAGAAAACAAAAAACAAAACAAAAAAACCAATCAAAAACCAACCAACCAAACAAACAAAACCCCAAACACATCACAATAGGACAAAACAAACAGAAGAAACAAAAGCCCTACAAAAGGTACAAGAAACAGATAAAGATACAGAGATCCACTAGTTTGTACATTCAGGAATTCCATAAAAACACAAAACCAGAAGCCGTAATATATTTGCAAAGGTAGGGTTACATAAATAAATAAATAAAAGCCCTGATATGACATTATAATACAAAAGAAATTGTAGCTGTATTAGAACTATTGGTAAATTTTTGTTTTCTAATTTTTATTTTAAAGCCTTATTTTTATTTTACATGTATGAATATTTTGCCTGCATGTATGTCTGTTTACCGCATGGGTATAGGTCCCATGGAGAGCACAGTAAATTTATAGATAATTCCTATTTATAACATTGAGAACTAATGTGTTTGAGAAATATGTTAATGAGGCACAAATGAAAACACAAGACAGTTCAGGGTCAGCTAGAGTCTACTTTGTCCAGGCTGACTTAGGCCTGGCTCTAAGGCTGCAGGCCAAGAAGTTAGTACAAACTTGTGTTTCAATGCTACGGAAATAGCCTTAGATACTCTCCCAGCAAGAGGAAAACAATTTTGACTTCTTTGCTAATAAATACCATATTTTAATGTGATATTCAAGAGTCATGTGACTATTCTCTGTGACTATTTAGGATCACTTGCTGAGCTAATCTTTTGGTGTCTGCAGTCAGCCTTGAGGCATGATGTAGATGGAAGATTCCTGGAGTATGAAGGTAGCCCTGGGAGGGAGTCAATCGGCCTCCCTAAGATTTGCTTAAAATTTTAGGAGAAGTGTTTGCTGGTCAAATATGTACAGAAAGAGCTAAGCAAAGGTGGAAACCGAGGTACAGCAAGATTCATCATGTGAAACTTAGAAATGAGCAGGGCTTCTCAGTTCTAACTGGTTATCTGGCAGTCACGGAGATGTGGCTTTTTTTTTTTTTCCTGACTTTCCTTTAAGTCTCTTGATCATGCTAAGTCTCTTTCCTCACCTTTTGTATTCTCAAGTAAGGTCAGTGTTTTATCCTCCAGTTCCTGCAGAGTTACAGAATCAATAGAAATACTCTCCAGTAGCTGGGCACGCTGATTTTCTAAGTGAGGCACCACTTGAGTCACTACTGTAGATAAGAGTTGCTCTTGCAAGCCTTGGAATGTTACAGTGAAGTTGATGATGGTAACGAAGTTATAAACTGATGGAAGAAAATGGGGGTTTTCCAGTTCTGTAGATAAGTACAACCTAGAGAGGAGACAGATGCCGGTTATTCAAAGAGCATATAGAAGAAAACAATGAAACTAAATGCTTAAATAATATAAACTGTATATTCCTGGAAATGAAAAGATTCATTTGTAGTGTTATTCAGCTTTTTTAAGACTTTCAAAACAGCTATAAATTACGTCTTTAATAGATCTGATTTAAGCATGAGGCCGGGAATTCGAAGATGAATGCTCAGGATTTTGTTTTTGTCATATAGCAACTAAATAGGTGAGGCTGAGGCCAGGGCGTGGCCAGAGAGGGTGGAGCTCCTGTCCCCAACTCTGTCGTTTAAGCCAGCACCCTCTTCCTACCCCCTGGACGACATCCATTCTGGAAATCACTTAGTCACAGTTGCTATGGCTCCCCTGCCTCTGCCCCAGGAGAGACAATGCTCTCACACAACTGGAAAGGTTTCCTTCTCAGGAACCCTGTTTCTGTGGCTGTCAAATGTTACCATGAAATAGCTCTCTGTGAAGTTGCCTCGAGTGGGGAGGGAGGTTCCTGCTGGAACCTCAGCTGCTGTGCTGGCAGGAAGCTTAGGGACACAGACCTCAAAACTGAGCAGTTCTGATTTTGTCCTTGATAGAGGCCAGAAATGGCCTTGATTCTAACTGTACTTTAGTCCTGGCCAGAGACCAAAACACCAAAACAGTGTTCAGGGGCACTGGTTACTGCTGTGGTTCCTGGTTATCTTTCTTAATGCTACCAAGGTAGGTAAACCCCCTGTGGATGGAGGAGTGTGTGACCTTGATGGTGATACAGCTTTATGACCTGATCTGTGTGAGAGCTCTGTTTGCTTCAGTCTCTTGTGCCTTGGAACCCAGAAGGAATTCCTTAAACAAACAAACAAACACAAAAACACTCTTGCTGTTTCCCATGGAATTCAGTGTTTGATCTCGGGAGACAAAGACCCGCTAATCCCACTCGCCCGGTGGCTTTGGTGGTTGTTGACTGTCCAGGCCTCCAGGCCATTATTGCTCACCTGAGGGGAGCAGGACGCTGTTGCTGTTAAGGATTCCCATCTTTCTACCTCTCTAGACAAAAATCTTTTTGTTCCAAATAATAAATATGAATTTATGTCTGTGTTTTTACGTGTGTGTGTCTAAGCTAGAGGCTGGCTTCCAGTATTTTCCTCAAATGCTTTCTGTCTTATTTTCTGAGGCAGAATCTCTCTGTTGGTGCGGATGACTGGTCATTGGATCCTAGGGATTGGTCGCTCTGCTTTCCCACTGCTGAGACTACAAGTGTATGGCCCTCTTTGCACTTGGGTTCCGTGGGGCTTCTGTGTGTGACACCCTTTATGCATGCGTGTTCTGACCCCACATGCTCATGCTTTCACTGCGAGCTCTGCCTCAGCCCTGGTGTTTTGCCTTTTAAAGAGGCCAAAGCTTGCCACACTGTGCCATGATACTGGCGCTGGTCAAGGAGATCAAATCAAACCCCCCTGTTAGGCAGACCAGCCTTCCTGCCTTCTGACTTCCTGTTCTGGTTGACAGTTCCTGTCAGGTACAGTCTGACAACACTGATAAAACCCACTCTTTTTTCTGAATGTGGGTGACAGCCACAACCCACGGGGCCAGAAGGAATGCTCTGGCCCCGTCCCCTCCATGCTCCTCAGATCTGAAGCACAAGGCCTTCAACGCTCCTTATCTTAAACACCAAAACACATGACTGGATTTGACCATGAGAGATATTACCTGAACTTTTCATTATATTCAATCTCAGAATTATCAATTCTGATATACCATTGTTCTCTTTTCTTATAAATGTCCTTTTTTAATAACGCCTTCAAGCTGGGAGGGAATGCTTCAGGGACATTCTAGAAAAATCCAACAGACACAAATAAAAAAAAATCATCTCAAGTGAATCAGCTGAGAAGACACATTATTGATGCTAGCAGAGAGAGACAGGTATAAGAGAACTAAACTGTGTACATATAAAACACATCCACAGCACATGTGTGTAATGTAATTATGGATGCATTTGTTTGACAAAGATCCTGGACACTTAAAACTTCTCATCTTTATGGTCACTGCATACAACACAGGAGGCAACAGAAAGAAGAACTCAAACGGCATTGTCCAGATACCTGCAAGAAGACACAGGCTCCACTTTGCATGGCGAGTTTAATTTTGCGGGGGTAACTGCTGTCTTCAGCGGATATCTCTTGCAGCTTGGACCCTTCCTTTTGACGGATCCAATGGAGTGCTTGCTTGTGGGGGTCAATCATCAACGGCCACTGATGTGTGCATTTCATCAGGATGGCATTTTCTGCTGAGTGCTGACCAAGAGGCAGCCCTTGACTGTGCCATCGGCGGATCTGAAATGCAAACACTGGTAGTTTTACCATTTCAGAGGCTCCTAGAGAACCTTAAGTCCCGTAATGGGTCAAGAGATCCATATCTTTTAGAAAAATAATCCTTAAAAGGACCAACGGAAAAAAAAAAAAAACAATTTAAAGCACATTGGATTTTTGTTATGATGAATAATTTAAGACACTGGAAACAGACAGAAATATAAAGTCAGGGGCCTGTGTCCGGGACTCTCAGGCTCTATAATATAGGAAATACATAGTCTGCAGCGTTGACAGACAAATGACAGAGCAGTACTGACAACTGACAGTGCCCTTATTTCACACTGGTCACCTGTCCAGCATATGTCTTCATTAGCTTGTTAAATTTCAGCAAACACTCTGATTTCTCAGATGGAGAAACCGAGGTGGAAAGTCAGAGAAGCGCCTCTGGCTACACCATTAGGACGAGACGCACAGTTGGGACGTGGCCCAGGGACTAACTCTCACTCTTCTCATGGCCTCACATCTTTCCATTCACGTCTGTCTCCCTGCAGTCTTAGCCTGAGATGATGGCGCCTGGGGAGCTGAGAGAAAGAATAGGCTGTCAGGGACACGCCAGGGCAAAGGAGTGGGGCTACGCTGGAGAGCCCAAGGAGCCTCTCAGTTCTAGGTGGGAAAAGTGTCTTTCTCTGTGCAAGAGCCAGCCTATGAAGAACTGCATGCTGTCGAGTTCTACATAAAGGAAATAGAAAACAATGAGAAATCCAGAAAGAGTGCTCCTGTTGTCGGGTGAAGACGCTGAGGAGACAGGGTGAACATCACAGGGGTGGCCATCAGGTCACCAGCTGAATCTTGTTTGTTTTTTTTCCCAAAGTTAATTCTCACTCAATGCCTTTCTCATTTTACGTGCATATTTGTAAATGGTACCATTTTGTTTGCTTAACTTTGGACTTTAGGTAAATAGAATCTTGATTTTGTAAATATCTGGCTTCATCCATGTTATGTGTTGTGTTTACTCTTTCTCCTGACACTTCATGAGCATATTAAGACTTTGTTTTAATCTAAAGGCAGTTGTATTGATTCGAATGGCATGAATAACTCTTTGATGAATATGTCCAGTTATGTATGCATCTCTCTCTCTCTTTTGAGAAAGTGTTATTCTGTAGCTCAGCCATAAACTCAGTCTTCCTGTCTCTGCCCAAGCACTGTTGGTGACAGGTGCATGTCACCATAATGGGCTTGTGCACGTCGTGTAGGAAAAATGCCAAGACACACACACACACACACACACACACACACACACACGTTTAAAGCTCAGTATCAGTTTAAAGTATCAGTTTAAAGCTCATTGTAACACTTTATGCTCTCCACAGGGGTTGTGAGGTTGTCCTGTCTTTGCAATCTGGTAGAAGCTACATGTGTCTATTGGCAACTCAGATACTGTCCTTGTGAGCCATCCACCCAACACTCTTTCCCACTGAGCTCCTGAGATTTCTGGTCATGTTCACTGGTAGGTAGCAGCTCTTACTGTAATCTGGACAGAGCTCTTTAAAACATTTCACAAATAAAATGATAGTTGGACTCTGGCTTCTGTTTCTCTGTTTATTTCTTTATTTAGAGACAGGGTCTCACTATCTCACTATGTAACTTTGGCTGGTTTGGAGCTCACCAGTAGCAGACTGGCTCAGACTCACAGTGATCCACCTGCCTGTGTCTCTGTGGTGCTGGGATTAAAGGTATGTGCCACCATGCCTGGCTACTTTATACCATCTTAATTTTGTCTTTTTTTTTTTTTTTCAAGATTTGTCATCGACTGTTCAGTTTGTATTTTATGTGTATGTTTGTCTGCATGTATATGTGTGTACCAAGGGCACAACATGCTCACAGAGACCAGAAGAGGGCACTGGCTCCCTGGGACTGGAGTTACAGATGGCTGTGAGCCGCCATGTGGGTGCTGGGAAGCAAACCTGGGTTCTTTAGAAGAGCAGCCAGTGTTCTCAACTTCCAAGCCATCTCTCCAGCACCCTAATCATGGCTGTTGATGAATCAAAGATCTAAACTTTAATGTAATTAATCAGAATTTTTAAATTATGGTTAATTTTTAAAAGAGATCTTTTTTCCCCTTAACTTAAGGTCAAGCATATGCTCTAAATTGTGCATAATTTGTGTCTCACAATTAGGCAACTGAACTTAACTGTAACCAGATTTTTGTTTTGTGTTTTTAAATGGGTGTTCAGTTGCCCAGTACCATCTCCTGAGTACTGCACTGTGGCCTTTGCTATGGCGCAAATGCCTGTGTTAGTGTAGGCCTGTGTCTGTGCTCTCTAGGTATACTTTATATTTGTATTGACCTAAAAAAACAAACAACAACAACAACAACAACAAAACACCACCACCCTAACCATGCAGTTCTAATGTGACTCTGATCCTTTATAGCTTGATCACAGCTACCCCAGCATGGCCTTCAATATTTTGCATTTTATCTTTTTTTTTACAACTTTGAAGTCAGATATCAGGACACCCATGCTGCTTGTGCATTGGCTAGAATACACATAGTTTGGGAAGAACTGGACAGTTCAAAATAGTGAACTTTCCAAATTTTGAATATGATATAACTTTTGTCTCTTAAAATTATCTTAGGAACTCACGGTTTCCTTTTCAAAGTTTTGTCCATATTTTGATAGGTTCATTTTGATTCTCTGATAAGTGGTGTCAGTGGTTGAAAAAAAAACATGACGGAAAAGTTCACAACTCTTTCACTCCTTCATGCCTCTAAAGGCAGCACTGTGTGGGTTATACTGCTGGCTGGCTCTCTTGGGATGAAGCCTGGTCTCCTCTAGCAGCTGCTTGCTAAAATCAGAAACCTCCATGAGGCCTTTGTTTTCATAAGTTGAAAGCTCAGCTGGGTGGGGTCTTGCCTGAGGGCCCTTCCCTTTGCTGTGTAGGTCAGGCCTCTCCTGAATGGTGTAGTTCTCCTTAATGGTTACAGCAACACTAGCTTTCTGGTGCTCCCTTTCTCTCCACTGCTCTTCAGTTTTGCATTGGGCAAGTTCTCAGGACATGGGCAGAAGGCAGTCTGATCTTTTGCCAAACTATCACAGAGATGGCTTCTATCCTCACTGTTATCAAAGCCTTCACCCCTCTCTGAAGAGTCTTGAGCTAGGACTCTGCAGTCCACTTTGCTCTCAGCATTATCGTCTGCCTGGTACCTATTAGCATGGACCATTAAGCTCTGCTTTTGGTCCAAAGCTGCAGAATCATCCACATCTACACACACACACACACACACACACACACACACACACACACACACACACCTATTTGACCAATATATATATTGGCCAGGTTCTTCAGAGAAACACCCCACTCCCTGGTACCAGCTACTTTAGTACTTAAGTAACTCCTTAGTTACTTTGCTGCTGCTCTGACAGAACACCGTGACCGTGGCGACTCATGGAAGGACAGGTTTGCTGGTGAATGTTATGAATCCTTCATGGTGGTGGTGGGGTGCTGTGGCAGTAGGTAGCTGGCATGGCAGGGAGCAGGAAGCTGAGCATTCATCTCTTCAAACTGAAGCTTCAAGCAGAAAGAAAACTGCTCACCTCCACTGCTATACTTCCTCAAGCAAGGCTGTATCCCCCTAAATGTCTGCAAAAAGTGCCACCAACTGGGGGACCCCGTATTTAAATATATAAGCCAATGGAGGACATCTCATTTAAACCACTTCAGCAGCTTATCTGTTTTCTCTATAGTCTTTTTTTTTTTTAAATGATGGCTTAATATTTAAAGTCCTGTTATTAGTACACAAGTTTATAATTGTTAATATAGTTTTGGAGAACACACCCATTATTGCAAAGTGAGAAATGTTTGAACTTTCGTATTCCTTTCTGGCCACAGAGACTATTACTTTTATTTGTAATCTATGGCACATTTTCTCCTTTAAAAAAAAGTCTCAGTCCTACTGTTTTAGATGTGTTCTTTTTAAAAAAACATGTGGCTTGTGCTTTGTTCTTAGAAACTACTGTGTGCTCTTAAAATTGTAGACTTTAAACCAGAGCATTTAGTTCATATGTATCGATGTGAGCCACGAGGTGCTTGGGGTTAGACAGATTCATTATGAAATGGAGAAGCTGGTGCTTCCTCCTGAGTTCGCACGGGTGGAAAGGCCCAGCTAGGTAGAGCTGTTCCTGAAGAAACCAATCTAAAACACTGAGGGTGCTTCTCCTTTTTAATCTGTTAAGCACCAACAAAGGACTTATCCAAATAGACAATAGATAACTGTTGGTAAACACCGTCTACGCTTTTCGCTGTGGCTTAAGAATGCACCCATGGTTCAGTAACTGCACGAACTTTGTTTTAGAGAGAGGAACTGGCTACATTCTTCACAACAGGGTGGTAGGATTACAATACAAAAAAGAAAAGTTTGTGAATTTCATTAGAGAATGTGAAACAGGATAGAGGCATTAGATCTGCAAGTTTAAAAAGAAAGAATAGAAGGGTGAAAAACATCAATATTTTCATTTGTCATAATAATTTAGGGGGAACACCCATGCTAAAATTTACACACACTCCGCAAACCCAACCAACAACAGCATTGCTTAACTGGGTACTAGAATTACGTTACTACCTCATTTTTTTCCGCCATCACTTCAATTAAGGAAAATTTGGACGACAAGGTAATATTGTACTGAGTGCAGAGGTCCTCCCATTTCTGTATCAAGGGCTGGCGGAACTCGGGCGTCAAGACGCCGCTGTAGGCGATGCAAGCAGATGAAAGCAGTATGTCGCCACAGATGCCTTTCAACTTGCTGTCCATTTCATCAATTGTTTCTTGCCATCGACTCTAAATGTTAAAATACAATTCAGTTTTTTATTGAGTTGATGCTATGAAGTGTGTGTGTGTGTGCGCGCGCGCAGGTATGAGTGGTGGTCAAAGGAAAACCTCGGGTCTCCTGCTCTCTCATTCACTGTTTTATCCCTTGAGGCAGTATCTCTTATTGAACCTGGCTAGACTGGCAGCCAACAGAGTATCGCAGCAATTGTCTTGTCTCTGTCCCCCACAGTGCTGGGGTTACAGGCATGCAGGACAGACATGCACAGCTTTTTACATGGTTATTGGGGACTGGAACTTAGATTCTCATGTTTGCACAGCACTGCTCTTATTCACTAAGCAATCTCCCTAGCCTTCTCCACTTACCATCATCATCATCATCATCATCATTTTTGAGCCAGGGTCTCTCACTGAACCTCGCACTCACCAGTGTGGGCTATACCGCTGGCCAGCAAGTCCCCAGGACCCAGCCGTTTCCTTCCTCCAGCCCTGGGGTACGAATGTGCTTTCACATGGGTGCCGTATGGAGAACACTTTACACAGAGCTATCTCCCTGGCCTTATACTGGGAGACACTTTAAAAATGAATGACCTCTCCATTGGATCCATCATTGCTGTTACTATTCTCAAGCCTAGGCCAGCAGGGGTGACAGAGCTTGGACTTCACTATGGGTTCTGTCACTTTACTGCCTAAAGCCACCTGGCAATCCCATTTCTTATGAAATAAGGAGAAATGATCAGATAAAATGAAAGAATTCTGTTAGCTTTGAAACAGAAATAAACAGGCTACAAAAATCTTACCCCAGGCCCTGCCAAAGAACTGTTTTCTAAGAGGAAAGCTAGTCCTGATAATGAGGTCAAGGCCAGCTTTGGCTACACCATGAGAACTTGTCTCACACAACAAGCAAGCAAACAAAATTACGTTATGTTATTATTGATGCTCAATTACGCTCCTGCCATCTGTTGAATATTCACTACCAACAGACACTTTATTGTGAAATTCTTACTTGACACTTCATTATTCCCTTAAAAAAAACTGCCACCGAGCTAGGCATGTTGACGCATACCTTTATTCTCAGCAGGGAGACAGAGGCAGGTAGATCTCTGTGAGTTCAAGGCCAGCATCTGCTTCCATAGTTAATTCCAGGCCAGCTTGAGCTACATGGTAAGACCCTATCTGAAAACAAACTAAAAAAATAGATTTAAAAATAAATAAATAAATAAATAAATAAACAAACAAACAAATAAATAAAAACAATCAGCCATTGTCCTCATGTTCACAGGAGGAAGCTGGAGTTCAGAGAACATCATTCGTGTGCTTGGTTGGTCACTCACTCCCCTAGAAGACTGAGACCAGAAATAATGCTGTGCTCCCCCCCTCTTAGCATCAGTCCAGTGTCAAGGGCAGCAGTTACCCTCTGGTTGACGTGGCCGCAATATGTTTATATCAAAGCCCATCCCTGTCTTTAGAAAGCCTTCCAAGGGGCTGGAGAGATGGCTTAGCAGATAAGAGCACTATCTGTTCTTCTGGAGGTCCTGAGTTCAGTTCCCAGCAACCATCTATATTGGAATCTGATGCCCTCTTCATATAGAACACTCATACATAAGATAAATAAGTAAAATCTTAAAAAAGTGGGGGGATGGGAGAGATGGCTCAGAGGTTAAGAGCACTGGCTGCTCTTCCAGAAGTCCTGAGTGCAATTCTCAGTAATCACATGGTGACTCAGAACCATCTATAATGAGATCTGATGCTCTTAATGGCGTGCAGGCACACATGCAGGCAGAACATTGTATACATAATAAATAAATCTTAAAAAAATAAAAGAAAAAGCCTTCCACAATACATTCATTTAAATAATTATAATAAAGTTATCTCAAGAATTTTGTGATCTCCTCTGGGATAGGTGAGGTATATGTAAACCAAGATTTTAGCCATCTTAGTAGGAATGATTTGGAAAAATTTAAAAATCAAATAAAAGGGGTCAGAAGACTGACAGAACAAAGTTTTCGCTTCCCACCCTAATGACAGCTATTCTCTTTGTCCCTACCCATACACTTGACCTGTCTTCTCCCGGGCTGCAGAATGAAAACTCCCGGGCATTGGTCATGGAAAGGTTGCCCCTGGCACTCATCAGACAAAAATGTGCTGCTGTCTTTGCAACAGGAGACAAGAGCCTTTGTTTGATGGGGGTCAGATACTGAGGCAGTTTTAGGGGCTTGTGGAGTACAAGCTGGGGACTGCTGAATCTCGTGTGAATTGGGAGAGGATAAAAAAAGCCAAGGGCAGCCATGCCTTCTCGTCTCCCAGGACAGATAGCAGGACAGCTGCGCACTTAAGGCGCCTGGTGGCCACCTTCTTCCGATTTGCTAGTTGAAGTTTTTCAGCGACAATCTCTTTGAAGGTTGCATGTAAATACTGCATATGGTCTTCAATCTGAAAGACAATTCGTTCATCACTGAGTCTCACTCTTACTTGGTTCCCAGCTTGTCTGTCATTTTTCTTGCCTCAATGTATAACCATGTCCCTTTCATGTCCTAGAACACTTTCCCACAGGGATTACATATGTATGGAACATGTAAATATATATGTTACATATATAATTGTATACACAGAATTGTATTTACTATGATCTGTAACTTTTCTTATTTTTTAGACATTATCTTTATACAAGTATGAACCGAAATTTTACAAAAATATAGTTTGTAAAAATATGTACATTACAGGCTAGAGATGTAGTTCTGTGGTAGGATTCTTAATTTGCATTTCTGTGTGTGTGTGTGTGTGTGTAGGTATGTGCACATCTGTTCAGGTGTCCATGGAGGCCAGTAGAGAACACTGGATCCTGGCGCTGTCTAACATGGGACTAGGAACAAAAGTCAGGTTCTCTGTAAGGGCAGTGATGAGTCATCGCTTCAGCTCCTTGTCTATACTTGTAGAGATTGTCTTTGCTTGTTCATTTCTCATGTTTTCCCTTGCTACTCATGATCTGGTTATTTAAAGTACAGGGTATATCCATGAAATTAACCATATAATTATGTGATGGGCCTCGTACTTCCTAAAGGATGGTTTGATGGGTGTGGTTGACTAGTAAGTTCTAGACCTAGTTCCCAGAGTTCTCTAGAATTTTCAGAAGTATTTTCCACATTAAAGCTTGGATGGACAAAAGATAAATATCTGAAATAGAAGACAGCCTGTGAGAGGACATCCTCACAAAAGGCATGAAGCCAGTGGCGTTAACTGTAGCTCAGGCAGTAGCATGGGATTTGCACCTGAGAAAGACGTTGAACAGGCCCACTGAACTGCTCCTGTGCATTGTAAGTCGTTTGTGGGAGAAGCCAAGGTGTCTTCTTGCAGCCTCTCGGTTAACGCCAGACTTAGGTTCTGACACTTCCGGGCTAGGCGGATGAGTGGACATACACAGTACTTGGGTATATATGTCTATATAGATGAGTGGATGGGCGATGGACTGAAATAAAAGCTGACTTAATGCCAACCTTGCAGCTCTGAGAGTGTGAACACATCCGTCATGCAGCTCTCCTTGCCTAGAACGCAGCACAGCACTTTGGCAAGCCAGTTTGCTGTGAGTTATAAGACAGCACACCATCTACTCCGAATGTGCCAAATGTTAGGTGGTGATTGCCAGACATCTGAGATGTGTGAATTTATAAATTTATGAGTTAGAGTAATTACTACAGACAGGTAAAATGAGGGGTGCAGGAATCCGGGTTAAACTTTTCATAGGCTAAAGTTATGAAGGTCTCTTGGAGGAACTTGGTGGGACGGTATTCCGTGATGATAACTAACACTCCTGTTAATCATTATGTAGCAGGGATGGCGAGTGTCACTGGTTATACCTGCATTATTTACCTGGTCCTCACAATTACACTCTGAACTGTGCTGTCCGACCCATTTTACTTTTGGCTAATAAGCTCTACTGAAATAATGGCTTCTCCGCATCGCGCCCTTGCAGGGTTAGGAATGGACTCTCAGGTCGCAACTACTAGCCATGTGCTCTGTTGCTGGGCAGTATCCTCAGCCTTAAGGAATTTAGTCCTTTGCAATGTTATGTACCTCTTAAAGGTATTGAGAATTTAACAAGTAATTTAAAAAAAAGCTACCCTTCCCCAAGCCTTACCAGTTGTAAACCTCTTTGCTTTTCGGCCAACCTTTGCTTTGCAATTTGAAGGATTTTCTGAGCCTCAGCCACCTGCAGCTGCTTCGGACCCACCACCTTCCCGAAGAGACATCCACAGGTTTAAACAGTTAGGCTTGTGGTTTAGAACGTCTTATACTCAAGAGACATAGGTATCAGTCTTTAAAACAAACATTCCCAGGATTTTCCATGTGCATGGCAGGGATACAGTTTGGTATGGACAAACTATGAAATCAAAGCAACAGGAATGCAGCGTGGTGCTCACAGAATGTTTAAGAGAGACTTCCAATCTATGTGAACGAGCGCCACGTGCACAAGTGTGGCTTTCTGGAGGCATCCTCCCCACAGGTTCCCTTGAGCATTGCTAAGCACACATTCCTTTCGGAACTCTGTGTGCAGCATGACAGAGTCAGGCATGGAGTTACCTTCTGCACATCATGGTAGTTATTCAGGGCTATCACCCACTGACACATGGAACAACAAGCCACAGAGACCAGAGCAATCTTGCTGGGGCTGAAATCAGCCACATTTAAAATCTTCTTGAGCTTCATGAACACCTAGGGAGAACATGCCACATGAAATGTCCATTAGAATGGATCATCAATTCCTCTAAGGATGAGCCTCACCACTGCAGCTAAAACAGACAGCTTTATCTGGGGTTCAACGTGGCTCTAGACGGAGGAAGCCTTTCTACCCAACACCTGTCACGGTTGCTGTTGAGGCGAATTTGCTAAATTTTTTCTTCTCTCTCTCTCTCTCTCTCTCTCTCTCTCTCTCTCGTCAGGGTTTCTCTGTGTGTAGCTTTTGGCTGGCCTGGGACTCACTCTTAGAGCAGGGTGGCCTTGAACTCACAGAGATCTGCCTGCTGAATGCTGGGATTAAAGACATGTACTACCACCACCTGGCTGCTAATATTTAGGAGGAAATGAACTTCAGCTTAAGAAAACTTAGTGTGCAAGGAGGTCTGAGTCCCGTGGCGCACTTTACTGTGAGGTGACCACGCCCCATCTGCACGCGGCCTGTTGGTTTAATGGTACCATCTAATTTATAGTTAAGTGTACAGAATTTCTCATCTGCTTTTACGAGCCACAAATGGTGTGGAGTATTTCTTAGGCTTGGATTCCTTCCTGATTTCTGGCTACATGTCTCCTCTCTTGCCCGGCAACAGCACCATTTTCCTGAATAATTCAAGGCATGCGCTCTCTCCCAACCGGCCACTGCTAATACGTTCTCATTATTTTGAATGCTGCTAGGCTTTTAATCACTTCTTTATAAGCGCAATTCTTTTCAGTTGCTTCTAAACAAAACCACAGGGGACTGTATTTGTTAGTTATTCTTTAGAGGGTGTCACATTAGTTCATGAGTGAGTATCACCACGAACATTCCGCCAAAAGCCTCATGTTCTTTCTACGAGACTCTGTTTCCCAGTAGCTCAGCCCACCATGATTCTCTGCCTAACTGTGACTGGCTGCCTAATGCCATCTCTGTTTAATATGAAGACTATAGAAGAATACTCCACGAGAAAACCATTAATTTTGCTCTCCTGCTCTCATTTTAGAATTCTATCTATCTATCTATCTATCTATCTATCTATCTATCTATCTATCT